ACAAGGACTGGAAATTATTTATTTCTTTTTATTCCTCTTTAAAATATTCCAAATAAATAGATTTCACTGAGTCAGTAAAGTAGCTCTGTTCTTCCCAAGAATGTCCCAAACTGGACCCCAAATTATTTTATGAAGAGATGTTCTTCTTGAGATGTTAAGCTTGCTAGAGTCCTCTGCTCACCCAAAAATCCTCCTATGAATACTGATGCTCAGTCTTCTCTCATGCTGTGCTTTCTGCAAAAGAGGCTAGAATATAGCTATCTCTATGAATACAGGAGAGGAATAAAAAATGAATCTCCAGTTCTTAGTAACACCAGTCAGAAAGCAATAGGGCAAGACTGTCAGTTCAACAAGTTCACTGGGTGCTCACTCTCAGTGTTTTAAATGGACCCTATAGTGGATACAAGAATAAAGAAGTAAACAGGCATTCACCAAATAATAGGATAACTGCTGCTGCTGCTGCTGCCAAGTCGCTTCAGTCGTGTCCAACTCTGTGCAACCCCATAGACGGCAGCCCGCCAGGTTCCCCCGTCCCTGGGATTCTCCAGGCAAGAACACTAGAGTGGGTTGCCATTTCCTTCTCCAGTGCGTGAAAGTGAAAAGTGAAAGTGAAGTCGCTCAGTCGTCTGACTCTTCGTGACCCCATGGACTGCAGCCTATCAGGCTCCTCCGTCCATGGGATTTTCCAGGCAAGAGCACTGGAGTGGGGTGCCATTGCCTTCTCCAGAGGTGCACAGTTACTGGGTTACCCAGCAGAGTTACTGGGGTCTAAAAGAAAAGGGTGAACTTATTTTTTCCCAAGTGGGATAGTTGAGAAACAAAGAGACTGAGGTCTGAATGACAAGACTTCCACAGCTGCAGAGAGGGAGAACCAGGGAAAACCCTCATCTCTCAACTTCTAATTCATACTGATTTTGATCTCAAGAAGGACTAAAGAAGTCTTCCTTGGGCAGTCCAGTGCAGGGTGTTGGAGCTAAGAGCCCACATGCCTTGGGACAAAAAAAACCCCCAAAAACCCAAAACATAAAACAGAAGCAATACTGGGACAAAATAACAAAATTCAATAAAGACTTAAAAATTTTTCCACTTTAAAAAAAAGAAGAAGATAAAGGACTAGAGATGCTTGACTGGAAATATTTCTCACTATCACAAGAAAAGTTCTTGGAATGGGCCTTGACAGTCACATGGAATTTGATAAATGGAGAATTGTAAATGTTTTAGGCAGAGAAAACAGCATAAACAACTTTGTGTGATATATTCTGACAATGCAGACCACGTGACTTGGCTGACATTTAGGGACAACTATAAGGCAGGGATGAGGAAAGGGTGGAAAGTTAAGTCTGCAGCCAGATTAGAGAAAAGCTTGAATACCAGGGCAAGTTGCTTGTTATGAAGGCCCTCAAGAGTGATGAAATTCTGAAAGTTTGAAGCTGAAGAGTCAAGGAAACACAATGATATATGGGTCACTGGGATAAACATGGATTATATGCTTTGTAATTTTAATCTCATATTTAATTTTAATTCTTATTAATGAGAATGCTTTGACAAGCACTGTCTAAGGAGAGCATTGTATTTGTTTAAGAGATGGGTGTGGGAGGCCATGACAGGGTAGGGGGTGGGGATCTGCTCAAGGGACAGGCATGAGGGAGTGAACAGGCTGCAGGGATTCTTCAGTGAAGCAGACAGAAAGGGAATTGGTGGAAATAGTTGAGAACAGCCACAGTGTGCGTCTGACAGATTAGTTCCTGGGGCCCATGGAAGAAATGGCTTAGAGGCAGCAGAAAAACCTTCAGGGAATCTCTATATTTCCCCAGGAGCATTTGACCTGTGATCACTATTAGCCCCTATTTCTTCATGGATGTCAAGACAAAATAACTGGGACTTCCCTGCTAGTCCTGTGGTTAAGAATCTGCTTCCCAATGCAGGGGATGCAGGTTCCATCCCTGGTCGGGGAACTAAGATCCCATATGCCATGGGGCAGCTAAGCCCACCTATTGCAATTACTGAGCCCGCATGCCACTATCAGAGAGAAGCCCGCTTGCCGCAATGAAAGATCCCACATAACACAACCAACACCTGATGGGAAATAAATAAATAAAAAGACAAAATAACTTGGTCACATATTCTAATAAGAATGGATTAGAAGCTCCTTTTTGATATATAAGGAAGCACATTTGTTTCTCAGCCAAAAAACTACTTTCCACGTAACTATGAGTAATTATCATGATTGAAATGTCTAAATTCAATGTTGTATAAGAGGAGTTGTAAGAAGCGGTTAATCTTTGAAGCTTGACAAACCTGAATTTGCAGCCCAGGTTTGCTACTTACTAGTTGAGTGATCCTGGTTAAGTTATGTAACCTCTCTGAATTTCAGTTGCCTTGATGGCAGAAGCAGAGAATACCATTCAAAGTTGTAGACAAAATAAGCAGTATGTATATAGAAATGCTTTCCTACAGTTGTGTACCTGGTACACAACTAATGTTGGTTCCTTCCGCTTTCTTGGTGAAATCAATACCAGATAGAAGGGAAATTACTAATAACCAGACATCCTGTAAGCTTCCAAGTTCAACTTCCTTTATTAAAACTTTACAAGAACTGCTAAGTAATAGCAAAACAGATTCATTTCCTTTTACTTTCCTTAACTACTCAATAGGATGGGGTACTAAGGGACAGAAAAATGTCAGATACACACACTTAAAAGGGAGAATAAGAACAACTCATATAACAATTAAAAAACAAATTCATTTTTTTTAAAGGGCAAAAACAATGATCTGTTGACATATCTCTAAAGAAGATATACATATGACCAATGAGTACATGAAAAGATGTTCAACATCATTTGTCATTAAGGAAATGCATATGAAAACCACAATCAGATACCACTTAGCATCCACTGATACCTATAATCAAAAAGATAGACAAAAAAAATAGATACATGTATATATATAACTGAATCACTTTGCTGTACACCGAAACTAACATGTTTTAAATCAACTATGTTCTAGTATAAGATAAAAGCATTTTCTAAGTAAACTAAGAAAAAAGGATAGACAAGGGCTGATAAGAATATAGAGAAATTGAAATCTTCATACACTATTGGTGCAAATGTAAAATGGTGTAGCTGCTTTGGAAATCTGCTTTGCAGTTCCTCAAAGGGTTAAACATACAGTGACCATGTGCTGTGCTTAGTCGCTCAGTGGTGTCCGACTCTGTGGTCCCAGGGACTGTAGCCTGCCGGGCTCCTCTGTCCATGGGGATTCTCCAGGCAAGAATATTGGAATGTGTTGCCATGCCCTCCTCCAGGGGATCTTCCTAACCAGGTCTCCCACGATGCAGGTGGATTCTTTACCGTCTGTGCCACCAGGGAAGCCCATGTGGTGCAATAATTCCACTTGTAGATATATGGGGTACCCCAGGTGGCACAGTGGTAAAGGATCTGCCCGCCAGTGCAGGAGATGCAAGAAACACAGGTTGAATCCCTGGATTGGGAAGATCCCCTGGAGCAGGAATGGCAGCTCACTCCAGTATTCTTGCCTGAAAAATTTCATGGACAGAGGCCTGCTGGACTACAGTCCATGGGGTCACAAAGAGTCAGACATGACTGACCACACACACCACAGCAGATGTATACTCAAAAGAACTGAAAACATATTTACGCAAAATGCTTTACATCAACGTTTATAGTGATGTTGTTCATGATAAAAAGTAGAAATAACTCAAGCTCTTATCAATGGTAAATGGATAAACAACACATAGCATATTCATACAGTGAAATATGTGGTCATAAAAAGCAAGTGTTGATAACATGCTGCAACATGGATGAACCTTAAAAACATTATACTAAGTGAGAGAAACTAGTCACAAGAAGTCACGTATTGTATTATTCCATTCATATGAGATAGCCAGAACAGGCAAATCCATAGAGACAGAAAGTAGATTAGTGGCTGCCGAGAGTGGGATGGAGTGGGAGTGGGGGTAGGGGTAGGGGATAGGAATAGACTCCTAATAGTCATGCTTCTAGGAGCATCAAAATGTTTGAAAGTTGATTGTGGTGATGGTTACACAACTCTGAATATTTTTAAAAGCATTTAATTAAACAATTTTAATTGAACTGTTTGACATGAGAAATATATCACAATAAATCTTTAAAATAAAAGTAGAGTGATGGATTTTCAGATTCTGAAACAGAACAGTCTATTGTTCTGTTGAGAAGATCATGTTCCCTCAGGCTCAGACTGCTGACAAAGAAAGGTGCTTCAGACACATCTCCATGACCTGGGGTATTTGCCTGAGTGCCCTCAGTGACTTGGGGCTTCCCTGGTGACAGATAGTAAAGAATCTGCCTACAAATGCAGGAGACCCAGGTTCAAGGCTAGGACAATCCCCTGGAGAAGGAAATGGCTACCACTCCAGTATTCTTGCCTGGAAAATCCCATGGACAGAGGAACTTGGTAGGCTATAGTCCATGGAGTCATAAAGAGTCGGACATCACTGAATTACTATCACGTTCACTTTTTTACTTCGTCAGCTACTTAGTATTCTCTTCTTGGATACAGAAGAAGTACTATGAACCCCTAACTAAGGCAGTGATTGCTCCTTGGGCACTGCCTTACTTTGTACAGCAAAGTACAACACCTCAAAGATTATCTAGCCTTGACCTCAACTCTCAGAGAGTCGATGAGACCTGAGACTTCTTGCAGTTAACAGAGAATTTAAGTCCCGAACTCCACCTCTCAAGCAAAAAGTTCATCACACTTCATGAAAATATCCTTTTGTTATATTTTCTTGAGTTTATACTATAGAAGAGGGGAGAAAGCTCCCCATTTGCCATCAAAGGTAGACACACATTTCTCATGCATCTGAATTTTGTGATGTAAGACTTGTACTTGAAAGTGTCTATAATACTTAAAAAAAAAAAAAGAATATCTATGGAAGAGGATCAGGATATGGGAGAGCTAAAAAATGAAGCTGAAATATAGGCCAGTACTCACTTCCATACTTAGGTCATTATTCATCCTGATGCAACCTGAAAGATCTGTTCCTGGGTGGAGACCAGCTGAAGGGCTAGGACACCTGACAACACAAAGTAAAGTTCCTTACTACAAGTGGAAAAATTGCAAATTTTAGCAGATACTAATCTATCATGTAGTTTCCCTTCCCCACCCCAATTTTACCAAATTTCTAATTAAGTTCATGCCTTCAGTGAGACATGATCAAAGAGAGCTCCAAGCTTCATCAGAGAGAGGTTATAACCACAGAGAATCCAGCCCCAAATGAAAATGAAGTATTTGCAATTCAAAGTCTTGCTTCCTGACCTCTTGGTACAGATAGGAAATTTCAGTGGAGTGGACAGTGCTCACAAATCCCACTGACTTTTCTAAACTTTTCCTAAGGAAGATCAATCTGTGTACTTAGAAATTTGAGTGAACTCGAGGAGCTTTGGGTGCGGGAAGCGGGGCACGGGGGTAGATTCTCAAAGACTTGTTCACCTGGAGTGTGAAGGAATAGAATTATGATCAAAACCTAGCAGAATAAGTTAATTTAGCAGTACATAATATATTCCTAAAAACTGGGAAACATTTTAAATAGCCTAATTCATCTTTTACAGTTTTAGGATGGATATTATGAAATTCAAAAGAGCTATGGAGCAAACTATAGAGGTATCTTTGTTTTACATTATCGATTTTCAGAAAGTTAGGCAAGTTACACAATGAAAATTCCATGATAAAGGTGTTACAATCTGAGGATATGAAAATCTAACTGATTAAAAGGGTAGGCAAGGGAAAGGGGCCACCCTCCAAAAGCAGAATAAGTCTAGTCTGCCCTTTTAGCTTACTTGTGTCTTTCAGTCACAGCCAAAGCACCATCCTCTATTTCTTCATATCTGGGCCTTTCACGTGAAGCATGGATTAGGTTGGCCACACATGAGAAAGGTGTCAATTCTAGCCTTGGAATTGCTGTAAGACTATCCAGATGCAAGGCATCTGCATTAGAAGAGAGAAAAATAAAAATAGAAATTAATGGTTCAAATGCAGATGCCACAAAATTCAAAACCTTTGGAGGGACTCTCCAAAAATTCCCTCTTTGATGAGACCATTTCTGAGACAGCAAACATCAATTCAGTTTTATTAATTTTTTAACATAATCCCCCATCCCCTAAGTTTTCATGCCTTTCTTTTTTCAAGGACGAGTGAGGGTGGAGGAGGGGAAACAAACCCTTGCCTAGTAAGCAACTAGAGATTTCAACAACAGCTTTCTGCCACAAGCAAAATCCAGCCAGCCAGCTGTTTTTGTAAATAAAGTATTATTGGGACATAGCCACACCCACTCATCCAGCATCATCCAAGGTTGCTCGTGTGCTACAACAGCAAAGCTGAGTAGTTGCTGCAGAAACCATACAGCCTGCAAAACCTCAAATATTTACTATCTGTTTCTTTACAGAAACAGTTTACCAACTGCTGAAGAGAAAATAGCTTGACATTGTTTTCGTTGATCAACCGCTAAGTCGTGTCCGACTCTTAGAGACCGCAGGGACTGCAGCTCAACAGACTTCCCTGCCCATTGAAGAGTGCAGGAAATAGGATGACAACTTTTTCTGGGTGTGGAAACTGTCTTGTTATGCTTTTCTGCGTCCAAGAAGCAGCAGAATTTAATAGAAAAAACATAGACTTTGGAAACAATCACAATTTTCTACTCAAAGCCTGACTCTGCCATGTACAGTTTAGTGATCTCAGATAAATAACGAACCCACTCTGAGCCCCAGTTTACTTACACACGAAGTGCCATGTGACCTGAGGCAAGTTCCTAACTCAATGTCCCTGTTTCCTTATTTTTAAAATGGCAATTACATTAGCATCTACTTCACAGGGATATAGTGAGGATTAAAGGAATTAAGAGGCATGTCCAGGGCAGAGACCAGTGCCTGGCTCTCCTTCAGCGCCCTTGTAATGATCACTGACTTCCTGTGGGTAACATCATCCCTAGAAAGCAAGTGCTCATCTATTGTCCTACACGAACTGGTCACTCGTTAGTTCTGGCAGCAGTTGTCCCTTTTCTAGTTGAAATGATCCACAAATCACTCTACTTACTTTTTATTCCTTCTTTAAGTTATTTTATCATCCCATTTCTTTTATCCTTTCAGAACCAACCATTAACTTTTACTTTCAAAGCACATCTATGTTGCGATGAGAGATGCCCCAGTTTTGAGCACCTCCTAAGATAAGGTTCATTCTCCTTAGCCTGGCATTGACATGAACCTGCTCCAGACTTACATTCTACTGAACCCTGACCCGAGTCCTCTTATTTCCAAAGTGATTTGCCAAGCTTGAACTCTTCTCTTACAACTTTGCATTCTTCTTTCCCCACAACTCATGTTATTTTCTCCATTGGAATACTTTTTCCCATGCTTTTTGCTCTTCCAAATGCAATTTGTCTTTCGGTGCCCAGTTAAACACTCGTTTCTTCTACAGAGCCTTCTCTGACCCCAAGTCTTACTTCCCTTCATAATCTGTGAGCTATTTTAGGGATTACTCTTCATTATATTAATATATAATACAGTGCCTTACACAGAGTAAGTGCTCAAATATAAGTTGACTGACTGAATTCAGGGATAAACATATAAGCTTTCAACAACCTTTGCTATATATTGTTGTTATTGTTTAGTCACTAAGTTGTGTTCACCTCTCTGAGACCCCATGGACTATAGCCCACCAGGCTCCTCTGTCCATGAGCTTTCCTAGGCAAGAATACTGGAGTGGGTTGCCATTCCCTTCTCCAGGGGATCTTCCCAATAACTGAGTATTTTCTGTTTCAAAAAAAAACCCCACCTCCATCGGTGTCTACCAGGGTATAGGAAAGGGGCCATCCACGCTTACCCAGCAGAGGTGTGTACCAGCACGTGTGTTTGAAGGCCAAGGGTAGCTGATGTATTCTTGCCTCTGGACCACTATATCTTTTATGGCAATGCTGCTTCTGAACAGAAAATCAAGTCCTATTAGCTTTCCAAAGGGCTATAACGTATTTCATAATCTACTCTCTTCATCTCCAGAATTAAAAAGAATATCGTTGTCCCCCCACAAGAGAGATCAAGAAGTAACAAAATAACAAAGCTTTCATGCTCTGAATTGAGAGGTAGAGTTTATGAGTAAAATGTAATATTTACTAAAAATTACTCTTCAATAATTTAATAGAATGATAACACCAATATCCAATAATAAACACTTTCATATAAACAAAGGCTTTGGGGAAAGAAATATGAGGGGCAGGTTTGGTTATATAATTCTTTTTTATGATACTATAATCAAAAAGTTTTCAATAGTACCATTTCCTAGGGCCTATCAAAATTGTGTGTGCACATAATAAAGAAAAAAAAATAGGGCTTCCCTGGTGGTCTAGTGGTTCAGACTCCAACTGCTAAAGCAGGAGAGGCAGGTTTGGTTCCTGATCTGGGAAGATCCCATGTGCAACAGAGCAACTCAGCCCATGCACCAGAACCACTCGTCAGCACCCCAGCTGGGGGCCACACTACTGCAGACCTCGCACCGAGAGCCCCAAGGGAAGCCCCAAGGGAAGGTACTGCAGCAAAGCCTGCACACCTCAGTGAAGCAGCGCCTGCTCCCCCGCTCGCCGCAACCAGAGAAAGCCTGCACACAGCAATGAAGAGCCAGCACAGCCAAAAATAAATAACAAATGACTCTAAATAGAAAGTAAAATCAGGCATTCAAGCCTTAACAAAGAAAAGAAAATAGGTATCTGGCTTCACCTGCTACTCTCTCAAGAAAACTAGTATAGAGTTCTGACTTACTAATACACGCACAGTAGGTTCACAACTGGCACTTAAATAGTTTCAAAAAGCTGAAACTTACCAGCTGTTTCTGGAAAAATTGCTGAATTCTTTCTGTGCAGGACAAGGGATCACAGTGAGGAAATTCCTCATCTAAACAGCTCTGTCATGAGAAAATGGTAGAGTGTATTCAAAAATAGGATGATGGAAGAGTCACAGATACAAAACACGTTAAAGATGTGATATTAACTGAGGGGGAGAAAATAAACTAGTTGTTTATCTTGTATTTTACATTAAGGGAACAAGTTTATAATGGTAAGCTTCTCATTGCATTTCCCCCATTACTTATTCTAGGAATGAAATCGTAACAGGAAACTAAATGGCTTTGTCATTGAAATCTTCAGGCAGAGGCCAAAGAAGCTCATTGGAGATATAACTCAGAGTAGTGAAAATGGTGTCTGTGAAAATTTTACAGCAATAAAACTGCGACTTTCCTCGAAGAAGTAGATACATATCTATTAGTTGCATTATAATAGAAAACTGGTGTTCTTGAGATGATTAAAGCACATTTAGATATGGAGATTTTTCCTGTTCAACTTATTGTAAGGGGCTTCTTAGGCACTCTGCCTAGCTTAGTCTCTGACATGAATTTTTTTTTCTGCTTAAACAGATGTTCCTGCATTATGCCCTGGGAACAGATACATGCAAATGTCACCCTTCTCTCTTTCCTCCTCCAGCCCCTTCTCTCCAGTGCCAATCTTGCTGTTCCTTATGTTCTTCATTTATGAACAGAAAGGAGAAATTCACCAAGTGTCATAAGGGAAAGAAACACATTTAACTCCACCATGGATATCCTGAGATATCCAGACAGAAAGGAGTTGAGAGCTTTGTTCAAACAGGAAAGAAAGACAACAACCACCAAAGCCTACTCAAGAGTCTCAGAAGGGAGGTGACTAAGCTAGAAAACTGGCCTTTTGCTAATAGATACAGTAAATTCTGAGGTGCTTCCTCTCTAAAAGATGTTATTAGGAACCACTCACTGATGAGTGTTCTCTCCTGTTTTGCGAAATGCTTTCAAAAATGCATGAGAGGACAAAGTTCAGCAGAGCATCTTTTTCTAAGTCGGTTATTTAACTTTATGACTAAAATTATTATATATTATAACTTAGCTTCAAAATCTTACACCAACTGGGCAACTTCCCCACAGTAAACACATATCACAGGGGTTTGGGTCTTTCTGTTTGCTTTTTACCTGAAACAGCAAGCCATGGAGTTGTCCTTTAACTAAGTTCTTTCTTAGTGGCTGAATTGTTGCTATAAAGAGAATGTATAACCAGCTTAATATGACAATTTGTAAAAATCCCCCCTTCATGCATTCCATAAACTTTTAACAGCTTTAAATCTGGGGCCTGCGGAAAGGAGAGAGAAAACAATGGCTTTTGAGAATGATGTTCTCAACTCAAGACTCATCAAACTGGGAAAGCAGAAGAACAAAACAGGCGGGCGCAGCTAAACTATTACTGCCCTTGGGTATTTAAAATGAACCTTGATCAATGCAAGTGAATTATCTTCTAGAAGCGAGTCACAGAATTACTCATGTTAAAAAGGAAATACACCTCAGAGGTCACTCCATCCAACCCCCTACCCATGGGGAAACTGGCTCTTTAATAAGCCTCTGCTCAAGCTACAAGGAAAGGAAGCCCTGGAAACAGCCACAGAACCCCAGAATCCTACAAGTAGGGGTGAGACCATGAGGACACTGATGTCCAGAGGATTGAAGTACATAACTGGCTATTCATGGAGCTAAGATCAGACTCACAGGACAGTGCTCCATTCACTATCCTCTTTTGTGAAATTAAAAATATTTGTCTCTCCACTTAACTGAAAATCTGCTTCCCAGCAACTTCCAAATTCTCATCTCTGAAATAATGAAAGTGAGAAAAATACCTATTTAACTTCTAAGTTAAATAGTAGCATATTTCTTATTTGACAATCCATACCCTTTGAAAAGTAGCCAAGAACCAGAAAATAGGCTGAAATCATTGGAACAACCAAAATAGATGTTGATGTCCATGCCCTTTATTCACGTGGCAAGTCCTATACTTCACTCAGATAGTGGGCTCGGAATTTATACATAATTCTCACAAGCTTGACTGTTTTCTCAGCCCACAGATGATTAAAAACAAAAATTAAATGAGGGTAGGAAGCTCTGCTAGATGGAGGCATATTAATAGCTGCCACTTAAAAAAAAAAGTCACTAAGAGCCAGAAAAATTAACAGCAGATAGATACTCTGCTGTCCAAAACACACCGAAATCTGGTGTTTCTTATTTTAAAGACCAACAGTTTTATGCCTCAGTAGCCTGAAGAAATTCTGAGCCATAGAAAATAAGGCTAATACATGTGAAAAGTACAAACTCTAATTATAAATATTTTCCAGGGAAAAAAGCTTGAAAACCTCCAATTTGTGGAAAATTACCCATGTAAAATTTATTTTATATGAATTTTTTTGTAAAACTAACATTTTTCAACTAAGCTTGACAGTGCTTATGAGGCCCACAAGGAGGATAATATATTTTTAAACTATTTTAACATATTTAAGTAATTTTAAAGAATTAAATTCTGAATACTTAGAACTCAAGGATAGATTCAATTTTTTAAAATTCCCTGTGTTTACTATATTAAGAAATAAGGCTCTGTTCTCCTAATCAGTGTTCTGAGTAAGGCTCTGTTCTCTTAACCAGTTCCCAACATTATACTTCTGAAGTTATATATCTCAATACACTGTCTTTGAATTTCTAAATTAAGTTTGTGTTTCAGAAGAAATAACGAGTTAGTATAAGACTGTCTAAATTGCCCATCTGCTTTCCCATCAGGCAATCTTGGGTTTTAGAAACAGTCAATCTCAAAACATTCAAGCTGTAAACCTTATTTCAACAGATGTTTTGTGCAACGGGTAGCAACGATTTTCATATGTTTCATAAGGCAAAACAAGCTGGCTTATGACCTTAATTTGCATGAATCTTTGCATTCTTCTTTATGTGTTTGGAGTTGAACCTGCCACGTCTCTAGGACATTTAGGTTCTACATGGAAGCAAGTAAAACAATGGCCACTGTATCCCCTGCTGTTGCCATCTGTGATGTAGGATGAGACCAGTTGTCTTGGATACATTCAGCCTTTGAAGGAAGCTGAAATAAAATAACTTTCTAAATGATTATGCACTAAGATATTGCAATTAATTGGATGTTGAAAATCAAGACCATGATATTGAGCCATAATAATGTTAGTTATCAACAAGCGTTGACATTTACAGACTATGGACTTCATAGCATTTCTGAATGTTCTATTAAAGTGTGCATTAAAAATATTAAAGTTCTTTGAAAACCACAGAGTAGAAGAAAATAATTCACAACACTTATATCTGTCAAAGTTCTTGTATTCAAAATATATAAAGAAAAGAAAATCTAAAACTCAGTAACAAAAGGACAAGGGACTTAACTTGAAAAAGGGCAAAAGATTTAGGTAGTTCACAAAGAAGAAATAAAACAATGGCCAATCAACCCAATAAATTAAAATCAGATACCTGGAACTCCTGCACACTGCTGGAAGGAGCATGAAATGCTCCAAGCACTATGAACACTGTTTGCAGTTTCTTAAGATGTTAGAGTTACAGCTATACTATGATCTAAAATCTCTGCTCCTAGATAGTTAACCTAGGTTAAAAAAAAAAAAACACAGGTCCACACACAGACCCAAAACTGGAAATAATTTAGATGTCCAAGAATAGGAGAAAAGAGAATTACATTGTGCAATGTTCTTACAAAACAATGTAACTCAACCATGAAAAGGCATCACCTTGATAAAACACACTGAAGGGAAGACAGACAGAAGCACACAAAGGTTTATACTATACAACTCAATCCTAGAACAGCCTAAATTCTAGAACCCATCTAGAACCCACTGATGATAGAAACCAGATCAGTGGTTCCTCCTGGTGGTGGTGAAGGTAGAAGTGGAAGTCACACAAAGGAAGTTTCTGGGGTTATTGCAGTTCTGTGTTTCCATGTGCACTTGTCAAGCTGGTTCCACAGTACACTTACGATCTCAACGTTTCGTGATATATTAATTACTCAGCAATAACTAAGAATTTAAAAACTACAACAAGGCTTCCCTAGTGGCCCAGTGGTTAAGAATCTGCCTGCCAATGCAGGAGACACAAGTTGGATCTGTGGTCTGGAAACAACCCATGAACCACAGAGCCACTAAGCCCACGGGCCACAATTAAGCTTGGGCTTTAGAGCCCATGCTCTGCAAAAAAGAGAAGCCACCACAACGAGAAGCCTGTGCACCACAACTAGGGAATAGCAACCCTGCTCACCACAACTAGGGAAAGCCCTTGTGTGCTGTAAGCAAGACCCAGTGCAGGCAAAAATAAATAAAATTTAAGGATAAATAAAAATGACAAGAACAAAAATAATGGAGCTTATGAGATAAATAGGGCTAGGAAGAGACCACTAAAAATGTATATGCAACACTGTAACCCAAGCACTAATGAACACAATTGCTATTAGTACCAGGGAAGGTAACTTAGATCACTAAGACATAGGACTTAAAATGGCTAAAGGCTGACTTCCAGAATCCTAGAATGCACAAAAACAATGGAGTGGAAATGCTGGTGACACTTTAAATGGCACAGAGCTGGTGGGGTGCTGAGAAAATGCACATGAAAGTGGAACTTGGAGGCTGTGGGGCTGCTGAAACAAGTGCAGGTGGGAATACAGTCTGCCACAGAGCAGAGCTCTGCTGGGGTTGGGACGGCGGTCCTCGGCAAGGGAGGCCCAGGTGCAGGCACTTGTTTTTAATTTTCTTAAAATAAAGCTGAAAGCCTCTTGCTGCCTGTCAGCAGCCAAGCTGAGGGTTTTTTCCTTTGCTGCTGTAGGTTATAGTTCTCATCCTACCAATTCAGATTCTATACCCAAATTGAATGAAACATCCATATTCTTCTCACAAGTCTTCACCCATTTGTCAATTGCGAATGAGGTAGTTTACATACAGAAACATGCCCCTGCAGAACAGACTATACCCAGTGTGGCCAGCCACTCACTAGCTACTGCTGTGCTTTTGTTACAGTATAAATTAAGAGCTCCAGCATTTTCTGGAGGAAGATACTGAGGTTCGGAGAGGTGGAGAGTTGCCCAAATTTATCAAAGTCTTTGGTAGACACTGGGGCTTTCCCTGGTGGCTCAGAGGGTAAAGCGTCTGCCTGCAGTGAGGGAGACCCGGGTTCGATTCCTGGGTCAGGAAGATCCCCTGGAGAAGGAAATGGCAGCACACTCCAGTACTCTTGCCTGGGAAATACAATGGACGGAAGAACCTGGTGTGCTACAGTCCACGGGGTCACAAAGAGTCAGACACAACTGAGCAACGTGACTTTCTTTTTGTAGGCTTAGAATCAGAACATTGGTTTGTTTAACTTCAAATCCTATGCTCTTTATCACTGCAATACTTTCTCCTGGATTATTTCATCCATTCATGCATTTTTCCTCTGGGACAATAGAGGCCCGCATCCCATCAGAACTGTCCAGCAAGCCATGTTTTAACTTCGTTATCTCCTTGGTCCTCTTCCCAACACCTATCTTTGAGTATCCCCATCACCTAAATTCCCCTTTCAGCCTCATTTCCCTATTGTGTCTTAATTGCTCAGTACACAACCACCTTCATCCTCAAAGCTGTAAGACTGTTCTCTGCCCCATACATCATGCCCTCCAGGCTAAGTATAGAAGCTGGAAGAGAATTTCCAGTGAGCTCATCTAGGTGAAAGCCTACTCTAAAGTTCATGTCAGATTCTATGTTCAAATACAGAATTATAATATACAGGAGCTTCTCAGGCTCTCTCCCCAAAGAAATATTTATGCCTTCTAAAGGGATTACTTATGGTTTCACTCATTGTCTACTGTATGAGCAACTCTCTGAAGATTTTATGTAGATGGGGTAAAAAAGTGGATGAATAATAAAGGGATGATAGCTTGGATTAGATCATTTAGTCTCTTGTTTCTTGCACATCAGATTCACCCTAATATGCTGTATGCATACCCTAGATCTAAGAAGCTTTATTCACTTCATTTTCAAAGCAAACATTCATTTACACATCCAGTATTGCCCTTGTTAATAAGATACTTAAGAGATACATACCAAAAAGCAGAAGAAAGAATGCATGTTATCATTCAAGACATTTAAGAATTCTAATGGCATATTTCAGGAGGGCAAGTGTGTATACTAATTACCTCATAAATCAGTCCAGTCCTGGTGGCAACTGAAAACTTGAACAATATTCTCAGTCAACAGTAAATTCAGGGCATCTGATCAAACGTCATAAACAACTTCCTACTTCCAGTTTGAGAACACTGTCATTAACCTAAAATTTTGGACTAAACAACTGCATCCCCACAAAATTTGCTAACGAACCTTTGTTAGGTACAGCAGAGAGCAACTGCCATGACATTTAATGAATTTATAAAGCTAACCAGACAGTTTCACAAGAACAAAATGTATTTAAATAGTTTTGTTTTCTGACTCAGAATTCAAACGTCTGAGTCAGAATTCAGACAGTATGTGGTAGTAGTGGTCATGGTGGAATGTGTGAGGATGTGTTTGTGTGATAACTGTCCTAGCTCACTGACATCTGTTCACAGTCTATCTGGAAAATCTTCTCTACAGACATCCTGAAAATATGTGCTACCCAAATTTTCCTCTTCTTGCAAAGGTTTATTTTTTAGGGTATTATTAGAAAGATATTCATAAGCAAAAGGTCATCAGAGCAAAATCTTGATAGGTATGCCTTCTTAGGGGAACAAAAATTACTAGCAAGTGAAGGAGCTGATACAGCAATGCTGTATCACATGCAGTGAGCAATTCAAGACAGAAGGGAAGCATTCATCCTACTTTATCCAGCCAGACAAAAATACATGCATCCCACCCAGGGTAGCTTTCATATTCTGTTTTAAATGATATTTGGACCAATTATCCCCTAAGTATACACTGGGAAGACAAGAGCAAGTTCATAATATTAAGAATGTATATTTTGGAATAAGTTGTAAAACTTGGCCTTTCCGAGAAGGTACTACAGACCAATAGAGGAGGGGATAAATTTTTCATTTTATAAAACTGTGAGGTATAATAGTGATTTAACCAAAGGATAAATATAACTGGATCAAAAGACTAGACCTCAAAGCACAGAATCTAAAGCAAACACACTATAAACCAATTTTGAAATGCCTTAATGAAGGCACATTCACATCTCAAAATGAACAACTCTAATCACAAGGGGACCTTTTCCAATGCCTTCTGAGCAATACAAAAAATAACATAGATTATGTAACTTAAAGCACGCTTTACATTGTCTGACAGTGAAGCAGAGTAAAATGATACTTAGAGTTACTGAAAATGAGCAAGTGCTACAAGGCTTAGAAATAAAAATAATAATGAAGTGTTGAACAACCATTGCTATTTTAGAACTAGCCAATTCCTTTAAATGCTTAAACAGCTTTCTCAGATAACAGCAGAAAGGGTACAATAAATCCAAAATAAACACAAGTCTGAAAATTTCCATCTCTAGCTTACCTTAAGCTTATAGTTAGTTATGACCCAAACCAATAACTTTCTATAAAAGGAACCTTTATACAGCTAGAACAAGAAGCTGGTTGAACAAAAGCATTTGTCTGATAAATGGTTTTATATATATATATGCTTTACTTTTATTGAACTATATTTCTAGAATAAAATAAGCTTAAAAATAATCTGACATCTGTCATTTGACAACTGTCTGCTCACCCAAATCCTCAGTAAACATTTCTCCACTTTTAGGTAATACAGAAAAATTACAATATTCTAATTTTTAAAGCAACATATATATATATATATATATATATATGTAAAGAACACCTTAATATTATTTTTAAAGACTTTTCACACATATGTAATATTTTGATACACATTGAATTCATAAGTATTTTTGTTCAACCCTAAAATAATTGCTTTTAAGAAAATAGAAAAAAAAAAGAAAAAAAAAAAAACAGAGAAAAAAACAGAGAGGCAGGCCTTTTCTACCATGTGATGGGTACAAACCAGCTAATAAAATCAGAGCAGAATATGTAAATAATTTGCAAGTTCAACTATTTCAGGCATACAAGATTTTTTTCCATGTTTACATTTACAGGTATTGAGAAGTTTTAATTTTTTATTTTTAATTGGAGGGTAATTGTTTTATAATGGTGTGTCAGTTTCTGCCATACAACAATGTGAATTGGCTATATGCATACATATGCCCCCTCCTTCTGAACCTCTCTCCTACTTGTTTAATTTTTAAAGAAATAATAATCATGGGAAAAAATCTAGCTTATCATAAATAACAAAAAGGGAAAGTTAATGGTTAAATTCTTCCTCTTAGCCACTAGGCAGACCTCTGTGAGTGCCCATAACTCTGCCTTCTGGAGCCATTTCATCACCGTGAGTTCAGTATAATACAGTAGCTGGAATATAGACAAATGGCTGTAGCCCTTTTGCCCCTCACCTCAGAGTGGACTAAATTCGAACACAACAAATATTGGCTACTCACTTTTCGGTTTTCTTGTCTTCTGCCCAAGTGTCTGGCAAGTGTTCACTAACTCGGTATTTATAGTCTGGAGATTTCGTTGATCTGAAATTGCTTCCTCTAATTTATGCAGTGAAGGCTTCGCTTCTTCCCCGGCAGAGTGGGCTGCCCCATCTCCATCCTCCACCTGGATACCGACAGCGAACGCTGGATTTTAGCAGGGCGGCCGGGAAAGGAAGCAAGCGAATGCTCACTCTGATCATGCACACGAAACTGAAAATGTGCTTTTCTTCTCAGGGAAGCGATAAGCCTCCGCTGAACTTCTGCAATTCTGTGTTTGCATGGGCTTCGTATGCCTGAGCTATTTCTACAGTGGCAAAAGTCTTGATATGTCAAGTTGCCTCTTTCTGCAAAGTCGCCTCTTTCATCAGCAGGCTGTTGACACCGCCTCTTACGACTCCCCCTTTACTTCCTCCGCTCACTGCTAGTCGAGAGGGACTGAACTTCGCAGTTCCTCTTTGTTTTTTTGCTTCCTCCTCCATTTTTACTTAAGGGTTTTAAGGACATCTGAGGAGACTTCCTGTGCCTGTAATGTAGTCAGTCAAAGGCCACCCTACCTGCTTCTCTGCCTCCTCCAACCACTGGCTGGCTTCTTGGACCTGCTTCCTGAAGATGGCTTCCTGCCTGACACCAACCTTTTGCCGCCGTGTGATGGTTTCTAGTTGTTTCTGCCTGGAGTTAAAAAAGTCCCAACCACAAGCTGTCAGTGACATTTCAACCAAGAGTTAACCCTCGGAAGTTATGACAAGTTCAAATTTAATACAGTTCCTCAGAGATGAGAGGGAAAAGTGAAAGTATTTACATACAGATAAATGCTTCACAAATACAGAACTTTAATTAAAGCAATTATATTGCTCACTTAGTCTGATAACCTCACTTTACAGATAAAAAAGTTTCCTCTTCTACATTGGAATATTCAGTTCCCCACAAGCTACATTCATAGTTCTTAGCTACATGGGCAGCACAATGAGGTCACTGTGACAGGTGCAATATTTACATAACACATCTAGCTTTTTCAACAAAAAGAAAGGACAAAGGAAGAAGGGAAGAGAAAAAAGCGGGGACAAAAGAAATAAGCACTTTGCTTCATGACATTAGCCTTTCTCCTTAAGAATTGTCAATCATGGTATAAATACATGCCACGAACACAGGAAGGGCTGTTCCCAAGTATAGATAAAAGCGAGCCGTTAGTCTTTCCTCTGCAGTCTTCTCTTTTCTAAACTGTTTCCCCTCCCTTTCTTCCTCACCCAAAATCTCTTAGTGTTATGTTACTTCTCTTTTGGATCCAATCCTAAACCTCAAAATATATACAAATGTATCTGTTAGCTAATGAGATTATTTAAACCATGCTATGTACTAATACATCAATGACTCTCTGGAAACAACTTGACCTAAATAAGGACCTTAGCGCAAAGGAAGGATATTCTTCAGGAGTTTCAAAACAGTGAGGAAGACATGGTCAGGTTTAGGCTTTTTGTGTGACTCTCAAATGTTCATACATAGTCAGAACCCTATTGTGCATTGGCATAAATCCAGACTTGATTACAAGAAGGGCCATGTAAGAGACAAAAATGGTCTTAAAGAATGCTTTACCACTGTGGTAAGCCAGCAAACAAAACCCTAACCAAAAATAAAAACTACCAAAACACATTCTATTGAGCATTGTTCAATAATAGCATGCAGTCAGTTTTTTCTTTTTTTTTTAATTGTGGTAAGAACATTTAAACTGAGATCTACCCTATATACCTTAAAGTGTACAATACAGTTAACTATGGGCACAATGATGTACAAAAGATCTCTGGAACTTATTCCTCTTACACAACTGAAATTATATCCACTGAATTACAACCACCCATTTGCCCTCCCCAAGCCCCTAGAAACCACCATTCTACTCAGCTTCTACAAGTCTGACTGTTTTATACACTTCATGTAAATGGAATCATGTAATATTTATCCTTCTATGACTGGTTTATTTCACTTATAATATTTTTAAGATTTGTGGCAAATTTCCTTCTTTTCTCAAAAAGCTTTCAAAAACTTTTTTTTAAAAAGGCAAAAAATATTTCATTGTGTGTATATATCATATTTTCTTTATTTATTCATCCTAGATGAGCATTTAGGTTGCTTCCACATCTTGGCTATTATGACTAATGCTGCAATGATTATGAGTGTGCAAATATCTTTTCAAGATTTTGGATTTGAATCCTTTTGGATATATACCCAGAAGTGGGACTGCTAGATCATATGGTAATTCTATTTTTAAGTTTTTTAGAACCTCCAAACTATTTTCCATAGCAGTTGCACCACTTTAAATTCCTACCAACAGTACGCAAGGGTTTCAATTTCTCTACACACTTACGAACACTTGGTATCTTTTGGGATTTTTTTTTATATAATAGCATTCCGAACAGGTGTGATTCATTCATCATTGTGAATGACTCATCGTGGTTTTTATTTGCATTTCCCTGATGACTAATGATGTTGAACATCTTTTCATGTACTTGTTGGTCAATTTTATATCTTTTTTTTGTAAAAAGGTCTGTTCACTTCTTTTGCCTATTTTTAAATTGGGTTATTCTTGTTACTGAGCTGTAGAAGTTCCTTCCATATTTTGAATATTGACCCCTTTCCAAATACATGCTCTGCAAATATTTTCTCTCATTCACTAGGTTACCTTTTCATTCTGTTATATCCTCAGATGTGTGGAAGCTTTTTGGTCTGATGTAGACTCACTTCCATATTTTTTTCTTTTGTTGCTTATGCCTTTCATTTCATATCCAAGAAAGTATTGCCAAGACCAATGTCATGAAGGTTTTCTCCCAAGTTTTCTCCTAGGAGTTTTATAGTTTTAAGCTTATGTTTAACTTTTTAATCCATTTTGAGTTGATTTTTTCTATATGGTGCATGATAAGGTTCATTGTTATTCTTTTACATGTGGATATCCAGTTTCATTTGTTGACTGTTCATTCCCCATTGTGTATTCTTGGCACCCTGCTTGAAGATCAGTTGATCATATATGTGAGGGTTTATTTCTAGACAATTTAGTCTATTTCACTGGTCTGTAGCTTTGTAATATATTTTGAAATCATCATGTGTGAAACCTACAGCTTTGTTCTTTTTCAAGACTGTTTTGGTCTTTTGTAGTTCCATATGAATATTAAGAATTTTATTTGATGAAGGTGATAGAGGAAAGTGAAAATCCTGGTTTAAAACTCAACATCCAAAAAACTAAGACCATGGCAGCCAGCCCCATCACTTCATGGAAAATAAAAGGGGGAAAAGTGGAAACAGTGATAGATTTTATTTTCTTGGGTTCCAGAGTCACTGAGGACAGTGATTGCAGCCTTGAAATTAAGACAGTTGCTCCTTGGAAGAAAAGCTATGATAAATAGATACCATGTTAAAAAGTAGAGACATCACTTTGCCAACAAGGGTCTATCTAGCCAAAGCTATGGTTTTTCCCTTAGTCATGTACAAATGTGAGAGTTGGATCATAAAGAAGGCTGAGTGCCAAAGAACTGATGCTTCAAATTGTGGTGCTGAAGAAGACTCTTGAGAGTCCCTTGAACTTCAAGGAGATCAAACCAGTCAATCCTACAGGAAATCAACTCTGAGTATTCATTGGAAGGACTGATGCTAAAGCTGAAGCTCCCATACCTTGACCACCTGATGTGAAGAGCTGACTCACTAGAAAAGGAAGGATTGAGGGCAAAAGAAGGGGGCAGTAGAGGATGAGAGAGTTAGACGCTATCATTGATTGAATTGACAGGAGTTTGAGCAAATTCCAGGAGATAGTGAAGGACAGGGAAGTCTGGCCTGCTGTAGTCCATGGAGTCACAAAGAGTCAGACACAACTTAGTGACTGAATAACAACAAATTACTGTAAAAAATGCCATTTGAACTTTGACAGAGATTGAACTGAATCTGTAGATTGCTTTGGGTAGTATGAACATCTTCACAATATTGTCTTCCAATTCATAAACACAAGATGTCTTTCCATTAATTTACATCTTATTTCAGCAATGTCTCATAGTTTTAGTGTATAGATCTTTATCTCCTTAAAGTTTATTCTTATCTTATTGTTTTGATACTACTTTAAATAGGATTGTTTTCTCAGTTTTCTTTTCAGATAATTTATTATTAGTGTATAGAAATGCAACTGACTTATGTATATTGATTTTGTATGTTGCATCTTTGTTGAATTTATTAGCTCTAACTGCTTTTTGTGGAGTCTTTAGGGCTTTCTATATATAGATCATGTCATCTGCAGAAATGATTTACTTCTTTCTTTCCAATGCTAGGGGCTTTTATTTCTTTTTCTTGCCTAATTATTCAGGCTAGGACTGTATATATCTACCATTACTAGTGAATTTTATACCTAAGTGTACTTTTAATTGCTGTTTAAGGGCTTCCAAGGTGGCACAATGTTGGGCACAACAATCCAACTCTTGCCCTATCTAGAAAGAAGTTCAGAGCTGGAGGGTCCCTTCTGATCATATGACACTGTGCCAGGAGCAGGAATTATGGTGAGAGAGTATTTAGAATTTTCCTACCAGCATTGATGTGGCTCATTTCATGGTTACCCAGGGTGTAAGAGCCTCTTAAGTAGTTGCTGGACTTCTCATAAAGGGAATTTGTTCATGTAGTACTGTTGAGTCAGTGTATCTATTGGAAGAAGGAGGGTCCATTACTTTCTATTTCACCTTCTTGCTGGTATCACCTCCTCTGTTTTTTAAGACATCAAATTTATCTACTTTTACCTTTTCCAGGGATAGTCTAAGCTCTCAAGAGTATCCATTATTTTTCCAGGGAAAGTAAAAGGAATGTGAAGACCAACAGAAATCCATACTTAATAATAGTGAAGTTTTTCATGACTTATGTATACTTACACCTATAAATGTTATTGTAAATAACAGTTTACAATAACATTTATTTACTTTGATGTTATAAAAATGAAGCACAGCAGCCTTAGAAATAGCTTTAACAAATTAGATAGTATCATTTAGCAGATGAATATCAATTAAAGGTATTCAACAGAAACTTTAAAGATTTTTCTTCTATAGGGATTTTCATTATCATGTTAAGAGGTGTAGTAGCTTTAGCTTTGTGTGTGTGTGTGTGTGTGTGTTTAAATTCAACAACTCTCCTTGTTATCATGTCTTAATGCTAAATTTTGATTTTTTACTCTTACCAAGTCTGAGTCTCCTCCAGATCTTACCATCTAGTGCCTCATTTACAAAGTTTTCAGACCAAAAACACTTAAGGATGACTCTTTCTTGCATTCCCACATCTAACTTACTAGTATGTCAGATCTGATCTATCCTTAGAACACAGTTTGAATCCAACCATTTTTTGTTACCTTCACAACTATCACCCTGGCTCACATTATACCCCTCACCTGGACTATTACAATGGCACCCAACACAAGAGCTTTTTTGACCATGACTCAGTAAATGTTTTATATTTCACTCAAGCACACACACATGCACCTGGCTGAAACAAAAATTTTATGAAATAGTACTTAATGTATGCAAAGTATTTTGATGTTTTGTGTTTATTTCTTTAAAGGGTCATAATCCAGTAAATTGATTTCAAGATTCCTAATTGGTGATCTGTTATTGAAAAAAGCTCTTCTCACTTGTCTTTTCACTTTTGCCCTCTATAGACAATTCTCTACCTGGCAGCCAGAACGAATTTCCAAAACACAAGTCATATTATTTCTCTGCTTATAATCTTCCAGTGGCTTCCCATCTACTCAAAATAAAACCCCAATTCCTAAATGTAATCTGCAAGGCTGAGGACCTGACCTCTGCTTATTTTTCCTACCTCATTGCCTACCACTCCCCAGCACTCACCCCACCCCTGCCATGCTGACCCCTTGTTGCTGTTCAAACATACCAGGCTCATTACAACCCCAGGTCCTTTCCACTGACTATTTCCTCTGCCTAGAATACTCCCCAAATCATCACATATCTCACCTTCTCACTTCATTTATCTACTTAACTTACTATTCCTCAGACAGACCTTTCCTGACCATTTTTTCTAAAATTAGGTCTTTATGCCCCTGGTCAGTCTTGGTCTTCTTATCCTGCTTTAATTCTCTTTATATCACCTACTACTCCCTGGAATTGTACTCATTATCTGTGTCCCCTAATAGATGTTAGTTTTATGGAGGTAGAGATTCAGTCTTATTTTCCATAATTCCCTATCATTTAGAGGGGGAAAGAAGGGACAAAGAAGGGGCACTTGGACGTACAAAAGCATTTGCAAATGATCACATTCTTTTCTCACCAAGCCCTTTAAGGGTCTTTTTTTTTTTTTTACACTGCTTCTTGTTGCCTCACTCAACTCTTTCCAATCCTCAGCCCTGGAACTATTTATCTTGCACCTGAATGAAAACATTCTCCTCAGCAAACAATTAACTTCTGAAAGCTTGCTTTTAATAAATATTTCCTACTTCATCCAAACATAGAATTCTCTCTCACTCCCACAAAATACTTTACTCATGTCCTTATTCACAGTTAAGACCTATAGCCAAATCATTTTGTGTGTAGCCTCTTTGTGGTTTTGTGTCTTTTAAATTATGTTTAGAAAGCAGGAGCTAAGTCATCTTTGCATTGATGAGTATTATTTTTCCCAATGCAAGGTTGAGCAAAATACTATTATATTATGCTCAGTCATATCTGACTCTTTGCAGACCCATGAACTGTAGCCTGCCAGGTTTCTCTGTCCATGGGATTCTCCAGGCAAAAATACTGGAGTGGGTTACCACTTCCTACTCCAGGGGGTCTTCCCAACCTAGGGATCAAATCTGTGTCTCTTAAGTCTCCTGCATTGGCAGACAGTTCTTTACCACTAGTGCCACCTGCGAAACCATAATATTATATTAGATTTTTATAAGTAGATGGTGGGGGATTAATAGTTGAAAGAACATAGGTTTTGAAGTAGAACATATCTAGGCCTGATCCCAGCTGTCACTTAACTCCACCAGGATGACGTCTCTGGAGATAAATATATTTCAAATTTTTAGCACTACATGGAACACAGTGAACTTTTGACAAAGCACACTTACTGTGATTTAACTGGGCTGTTTTGTGTGTCTAATAGGATAATAGAGAATATTCACTTACTTCAAAATGACTCTAGTGCAGGCCTCTCTCAAAATAGTTCTTCGTTGCTAAACAGAAGAAGTTCAATGCTCCCTTTTGTGGAGATGGTATCTGTGTAAGGAAACTGCGTATCTACTTAACCCACGCCTTTACCACTATGGGGAAGTCTGGGCTCCTGGCTTCTTAGGGAAAGCAAAAGATCATCTTCTTGATAGTTCCTCCTGGTATTAACCTCTCTCTGATATCTAGTTTCCTTATGTGGGGGGAATAAAATCATTTTTTCTTGCAATTCTCTTTAAGCAACTATGCTAAGTACACTTTTTTCTTTTCACTTCAGTTCAGTTCAGTTACTGTCATGTCTGACCCTTTGTGACCCCATAGACTACAGCACACCAGGCTTCCCTGTCCATCACCAACTCCCAGAGCTTGCTCAAACTCAAGTTCATCGAGTTGGTGATTTGACGATTTTTTTCTTTTAATTTATTCTAATTTCAACTACACCCACATTCATTCATTCATCCAGTCAAAAAGCATTTCTTAAGTGAATGCTCAGTAAAGTATCAGCAGCTATATAAATAGTGATTAATAAAAGATTTAATCCCTATCCTTGATGAGTATTTAGTATGTTTAGTTTACAAACTGCACAAATTTCAAGAGTTTTCCCCAAAAAGCATAAGAATTAAGGTGAGAAGAAGGATAAGATTGTAAGTCATTTTATATTTAGAGTCTTCTATTCCCTATGACTTCTTTTATTTGAAATTTCATTGACTAGGGCCCAATGCAAAGCACTGTATACTGAGTTGGGACTTAAAGCCCAATGGGATAGGAGTCAACAGATCCAGCAGCAAGTCCTTCCAATAATAGAGCTATTCATTTGCTGCTATTGTTGTTCAGTCACTCAGTCGTGTCTGACTCTTTGTGACCCCATGGACTGCAACATGCCAGGCTTCCCTGTCCTTCACCACCTCCTGGAGCTTGCTCAAACTCATGTCCATTGAGTCGGTGATGCCATCCAATCATCTTGTCCTCTGTTGTCCCCTTCTACTCCTGCATTCTATCTTTCCCAGCATCAGGGTCTTTTCTAATGGGTCAGCTTTTCACAACAGGTGGCCAAAAGATTGGAGCTTCAGCTTCGGCAACAGTCCTTCCAATGACTATTCAGATTTATTTCCTTTAGGATTGATTGGTTTGTTCTCCTTGCAGTCTAAGAGACTCTCAAGAGTCTTCTCCAACCCCACAGTTCAAAAGCATCAATTTTTCAGCACTCAGCCTTCTTTATGGTCTAACTCTCACATCTGTACATTACTACTGGAAAAACCATAGCTTTGACTATATGGACCTTTGTTGGCAAAGTAATGTCTCTGCTTTTTAATATGCTCTCTAGGTTTATCATAGCTTTTCTTCCAAGGAGCAAGTGTCTTTTAAATTCACGGCTGCAGTCACCATCTGCAGTGATTTCAAGCCCAAGAAAATAAAGTCTGTCACTTCTTCCATTGTTTTCCCATCTATTTGCCATGAAGGAATGAGACCAGATGCCATGATCTTAGTTTTTGGAATGTTGAGTTTTAAGCCAGCTTTTTCACTCTCCTCTTTCACCTTCATCAAGAGGATCCTTAGTTCCTCCTCACTTTCTACCGTAAAGGTGGTGTTGTCTGCATATCTGAGGTTACAGAGCTATCCATATGTTTTCCATTAATAATTTAAATCTTGATCAATTCACTTTATATTCTTTTGCTTCAGTCCTCTATAAAATTATGCAGCTTTGTGGAATGATCTCTAATGCCCCTTCTGGTTAAAAGAATTCTATATTCTGATTCCAAACTCCTTCTCTAGACGAAATAACTCATTGTTTGGGTTTCCATAGATTTCAAGCTTACTACTTGCAATTTTGAATATATAGGTCAACCTCACACTATTTCACAATTCAGAATTGTCAAACAAAATGGTCCCCCTGAAAGAGTGGCACCTGAAATCAATGGATACAACTTGAGAAAAAGTAAACCGAATGCCATGGCAAATTACAAACATGCTATGTATATAAAGCATGGGTCACTTATATATAAGGGATCATCACCTGGAAAGAAATTCTTTTCTGAAATAAAAATATTCCAGCCTGAATCTCTTCAAAATGTCTATCAATTTGGCAAACTCTTTATCAAGGGATTCTTTATGGGTTCTCAAGTTGTTCAGTGTTAAGATGCAAAGATTTAGCTTCTCCTCCATCATATATCTGAATTCCTATAAGAAGAATCACAAAACAAGTTCCACTGTTCCAATATTAAATATAAAGAAGTAACAGGCAATAGAACATGCTCTAGACATTCCCACACCAGCAGCACTCACTGTTATTGAACTCTAAAATTCTAATTGAACAGATGTCAATTCTCAGTTGCCTAAAAATGGCTGATACTGTGGACTGATTATCCCAATTTAACAAGTACATAATGGGTACACACAGTGTGCCTAAAATTGAGCTTTGTTTTCTTTTTCTTAAGGTAAGTGACCATTTCATCAATAATCACAGCAGCTTTATAAATAGAATAGAATGGGACTAGGAAATTCAGTAAAATCAGTGTTTGTTGATTACCATATTCAAAACCACATTAAAAGGCTTTAAAAAAAGGTAAGTTTTACAAAAGGGCTGATACCCCAGAGTTTCCAACATTTACTCCTTGCTTTAGCTTGGCTTAGGGGGCTGATAGATATTAGGAAGTAGTCCGGCACTCAAGATGTACAGATAATAAGTTATGGATTCATTTAAGAGATTTCTTTATATATGCTTCCACTCTAACAAAACTGGGAACAGCTACCTAAAATGTTTCCACTTTCTGATATTCCGCTAACTTCTGGTATAATAAAGCTGTCAAAGTCTCAAGAATAAGATTCTTATGCACAATAATCATTCTATCAGAGAGAATTTTGAAAAGTCAAGGAAAAATTCAAGTTTAGATCAGCCAGCTCTCACAAGGATTCAAATAAAATATACTATTAATTTGCATCTTATTTACTCTTTGTCTCTCCAATGCATATTCCATATCCTCACACTCACATACACTTTTCATATCACACTCTTACTCTCACTCATATACACAACCTCAAGCACATCCCCAGACACAAACTCTACACACATGGTCAGAATGAGAAGGCATAACACTGCAATGAAATGATACTGTGTATAATAAGTGCTACCTGGGTTTAGAAAGTAGAAGATAAACCAGGAAAATCACAAAATTCAGAACACTTACAGTAAGTTTGTTCTCCCACTGTTCTTTCACAGTAATCTCTGGATTAGTTACCCACTGCAGAAAATGATCAATTAGTGTTTCAACTTCAGAAACATCTTCATGCTGAAAAAGAATTCCATACCTTCAAATAGGAATTCAGTGAAAAGCATATAAAAAGAAGTAATTTAGACAAGGTTTAATATACGTAATTTAGAAAGCCATCAGAGAGAATTCCTTGTTATCTAAAGTCACCGAGTGATTTTCCTTTATCCCAGGATGTTGCCATGAGAAGATGTTAACTCTCTACTCTATATATGCTGAACATATCAGTTAAAACTATTTTTCAGAACAAAACCTACCCATTTTATTCTCCTCTCAAATAGAAGGAAGCAAGCATTTTCACAGATATTTTTTCATTCATTAAACTAAATATTATCTACTATAGACTAGGCAGTGACAGACTTTATTTTCTTGGGCTCCAAAATCACTACAGACGTGACTGCAGCCATGAAATCAAAAGACGCTTGCTACTTGGAAGAAAAGCTATGACAGACCTAGATGGCATATTAAAAATCAGAGACACCACTTTGCGGACAAAGGTCCATATAGCCAAAGCTACGGTTTTTCCAGTAGTCATGTACAGATGTGAGAGCTGGAGCATAAGAAGGCTGAGTACCAAAGAACTGATGTTTTCAAATCATGGTGCTGGAGAAGACTCTTGAGAGTCCCTTGGGCTGCAAGGAGATCAAACTAGCAAATCCCAAAGGAAATCAACCCTGAATATTCATTGGAAGGACTGATGCTCAAGTTCCAATACTTTGTCCATCTGCAAAAAGTCAACTCATTGGAAAAGACTCTGATGCTGGGAAAGATTGAAGGCAGGAGGAGAAGGGAGCAACAGAGGATGAGATGGTTGGATGGCATCACCGCCTTAATGGATATGTGTTTGAGCAAGCTCTGGGAAACAGTGAAGGACTGGGAAGCCTGGCATGCCGCAGGCCACGGGTCAGACACGATTTAGTGATGAAACAACAATAACATGCTAGACACTGTGAAAGGAACTGGAAATACCAACATGAAAATGCTGTTCTCTGCTTTCGCTGATCATCTAGGATTTTCAGTCGAAAATTAAGATAGAGACTTTCTTGGTAATCCAGTGCTTAAGAACTTTTCTTCCAATGCAGGTGACATGGGTCCAATCCCTAGTCAAGGAACTAAGATCCCACATGCTACAAGACAACACAGAACATGTGCCACAATGCTTGAGCCCTCTTGCCACAACTACACGGCCCACGTGCTCTGGAACCCACGTCCCACAACTGGAGAGAAGCCCATGTGCCACAACGAACGATCCCACACACCACAACTAAGACCCAACACTCCAAAATAAAGGAAGAAATGTTTTTTAAAAATTAAAATGGAAAAAGAAGTACTAGTCATTAGCTAGAAGGAGTTCAATAGTCTTCAGCCCTCTGATACTAAAGATTAACTTGTAGGGAATATAAGCTCAAGCAATCTATACCTAATGGTCAGCCTGTTAGACCTGATTGACCCAGAATTAGAAGATGCACATTAGGAAGATCTGGGGAAAATCTTTTCATTTCATAATAGGATGTATTTTGTTCTCAACACATAGATACGCCTGTGCTCAACAAACAGGCTGTAGGTCAGTTATCTGTAGATCTTCCTGGCCAGTGAAACAGCATACGATATGCAGATGTTATACAATACCAGATTCTGAAGCGCAGCTATGAACTCCATTCCGTTTTGTTCAAGTTCTCTCAGTAACAGCAGCATTTCTTTTTCCATTATCACGTCCAGAGGTGACAAGCAGATTACATTGCACTGCCACTCAGTTTCATTGTTCTGAAACAATTACCAAAATGTCCACAACCCTGTCATCCTAATAAAGAATATCCATTATTTTTATTTTATGAAAGTGATGCCCATGGGTTAATGTAATGATCCCCATCAAGCATTCTAAATTATCTTATGAAATCCTCCTGCGTGCATGCCAAGTCACTCAGTCGTGTCTGACTCTTTATGGTCCCATGGATTGTAGCCCGCTAGCCTCCTCTGTCCATGGGATTCTCCAGGCAAGAATACTGGAGTGGGTTACCATGCCCTCCTCCAGGGGATCTTCCTGACCCAGGGATTGAGACCATATCTCTTACGTCACCTGCATTGGCAGGTAGGTTCTTTACCAATAGCACCACCTGGAACGACGCCTACATCCCCCCAAACTGCTCATTTCCTTTCTTGGATGTCTTCAGCTTAACATTTACTCATTCTTAAGGGACACTCACATATCTAATAGATAACATTTACATTTACATGATATAAACTTCTACGGCTCTAATTTTATGAAAAGAAGGAACAGGAAAGAAATTCTCAGAAAAAGAAAACTGTTGGTCAAGGGAGGGTGAACTCAAGAAACCCCTTTGCAAACAGACTGGTTTCTTTGTCTCTCTTCCACTCATAGAAGATGCTCTCAGATGATGTTTCACAAAGCAAGCTTCTCATACTTCTCTCAAAGTCTCTGTGTCCTCTCATACTTTAGATATATGACAACAACACATGTAACTTCCTTCTTGCTGTCGTTTGGAAAAAAGTGATTGGGCTCTTATTCCAGATTCCAATTAGAAGGCAAAGACTTCCTAATCCATTAGTGAGATAAACTTCAGCACCAGAATGTTGCCCGCTGTTTAACCCCTGTTCAGAAGTATAAAACTTTACAGGCTGGCATCTTGGCATCATTATTACCCCAGAGGACAAGGGATAAAAACACATCACTGTGGTAGATTTAGCCACCATGTCATTCAGTCTGGCAGTTTGGCTTGGTTTCAAAAGCACACTAAAAAAAATGATGCGTCTTTGCAACAGAATGTCAGGAAAGCACAGTCCTCAGCAGAATGTTCAAGACTGCCTGAGAACGCCTTAGGTGAAGTAACATATGTCGCCCTGCATCCTTGGCAGGAGAAATTCAAATGGCACTTGCCCCAAGGACATTCTCTCCTTTCAAGGTCATAGCACAGCTTTCAACAGGAGGACATTCTGGACAAATCTATCATCTACCCAACATGGGAAGACCATCAAAGTATCGAAAGAAAGCAATCTGCCAAAAAACATTTCCCAGCAATTCAAGCACATAACTGGAAAGTATAAAGGAACGAAAATATACTAGGGAGTCAGGTTCCAACATTTCATTCACAAGAATGCATTTGACTCTTTCCTCCCCTGTTGTAAAGAACTACCAACAGGCTGGAGGTTTTAAGGCACTAATTCATTTTGCTATTTTAAAATTAACCCCAAACATATAAAAATGCTAATTTATGTTCAGAGTATAATAATCAGTGTCATTAATTTAAGCCAGTACAATTATATTCTCAAGCAAAGAAATTTCATGTTTCTGCATGAAACAATGTAAATGAAACAACTAAATTTTTGGTAGATACATTTACTTTGGGACTTGAAGAAATACTAAAAATAGTTCATGATCTCTACCACAATCTTTCAGACCCCAGGCAGGGGATCACCGTAGGTAGTCCTGAAAAATATCAAGATATGTAAAGATTTCTTGAGAAGTCCCTGGCAGTCCAGGGAGAGCGTAGGATCCCACGCTCTCACTGCCAAGGACTTGAGTTCGAACCCTGTTTGGGGAACTAAGATCACCATGCCATGTGGCCAAATATATGTGTGTGTGTGTGTGTGTGTGTGCTGTGTGTGTGTATACACATATATAAAGATTTTTAAAGTCCAGATTCACTGAACACACATTTCCACACCCCATGCTGGAGTCGCACTATAGTTTTCAGCCATAACTTGAAAAAGATTCATTCTTCCATGCTAAGAAACTTTAGACTTAGGTTCCATAAACTATCAGTGGATTCCCTCTAAATGTCATGGATGATCTTCAGCAAGATACAGACCTTTACTTAATAGCAAGCTATTGCACATGTTGATTATTTTTGTAAAGGCTTCCATTTGGTGATAATTACCTACCTCTGCAGACTGAGCAAGAATGAGTTCCCAGTGTAGAGATTTTACTTCTTCAGAGTCGAAACTCTTATGTTTTCCACCGATATTTAACTGCATTCTGTTTCTTAAAAAAAAAAGCAACAGTAGTCTGGTCTGGTTAGGTATGCCTTATGTTTTAAGTCACAAGAATAAGATTTATTTATCACCAAACAGTAAGCACTTATGCGCGCTGTATAAGGACTGTATAAGGTACTTAAGACTACAGAGAGAAACAGAGGTAGTTTTTGCCTTCCAGGCACTGCACACACTAGTGATTCCAGGCAGTTGCAAACAGGCAAGCCATACTTTCTTTTTAAGAATTGGAGCTAATAGTTGAATTTTTAAAATTTCGACTAAAAATCTAGATGTCTTGCTTTTCTTTAAAAAATCAGAATATGTGGTCACACTGCGTCCATATATTCTTGATGTAACAACTATCTGGAGCTAAGCAGAGTAACACCCCATCTTTACCTGGATAATGTACTTTCCTCATTTCTACCCCCCAATATAAGTATGTGCACTTACCCCACTGAATTTACTCATTTTGCTGCTTATGGGTTTCTGGACTAGCATGTTATATAAAATCAGAGACAAATGATAACATAAGGTTATCAGGTGTCAGGAAAGAGGTAAAAACAACATGACATGCATGCACGCAGAAAGATTACTTAATCTCAAGGCATGAGAAAAGTAAGGGTGAGTGAGGTTGATGGAAAACTTGTGCAGGAATTTGTACTCTTAGGAGAGAAGCTGAGAAAACATCACACAGTTACAGAAGGAAAGAACATGGCATGTTCAAAGAACTGCACACAGCTCAGTAGGTGAATAATGTAGAGCGGGGGACACATGACGGAAAGTTGGTGAGAGGTTACTTTCTACTTACATCATGAATTCCTGTCGCAAGTGCTGTAACTCTTGAGCCAGCTTGTTTTTCTCCCCTCGTAAGTTCTGGAATTACATACAACATTAGGCTGCCCATGTTACTCTACTGGGACATGCACATTTCCGTTTAAAATCCCCACCTTGAAAATTGTGAGATTATTATGGTATACCTCAATAATGCTTCCAAATTCTATGATTGTTGATTTAAGCTCTTCTATACTTACATCCTTCTGAAAAGTAGGAGAGAGAATTAATAGCAAATAAATGTATGAGTTTACCAAATCATATTTAGTAGACTAGCAATCTGAGTCAAAGAAGAATTATAAGTGCCTAAAGATGTGATGAGACCTTCTACGAATCTCATGATTTGAAAATTCAGCTAGTCTAGGTTTGCGATTAAAACTACAGAAAAACATAAGGGGCAGCAAGGCATCGATATCTGACTGGTGTTATTATGTTCTATCTCTGCCTGGTCCCATGAAATCATGCCCTGAAAGGCAAATTTTAAATCCAAGTCAAAATTTTATTGCTATGGCCTATTTAAGGGGAAAAAAAGGCAGTTTTTACCTGTAAAATGATTAATAAATTATGAAAGCACCCAATTGTACGCAGTTCAAACCATATCTTTTAAAAATCATAGTTTTGTACTCCGAGACCAGAGGGTACAGTCAGTGTCTGACCTATAGCTGTGTCCCATGAATGGCATGGTGCCTGGGGCAAGGGAAGTATCTTATGAGCGTGGGGAGGGAGCGCAGAGTGGTGGAAGGACTAAAGTTACGGAGGAAATGAGCAGTCATCACTACTACAGTGTCACTACAGGGGGAGAGAGAACGCCCATGAGGAGGAGACACAGCCGGTAAAACAGTCAGTATTCTGGTCAATGTCCACAAGCTGTGAAGGATGCCTTTGAAATGTCATCAACTGCAGGGAAAGGAAGTGAAATACTGCTCCTCCTTCCCTTTCCTGTCTTTGAATGTGGAAGCTTATTAACTTAGGCTGTGTCCTTTCTGTGTCTCCTAAAGCCACCAAACCAGCATCCCTGTAGCCAGGAAAGTTTGTTACCAAATAGGCTATGATCATGAGAGACAAATATAAATAGGGTAATATTTATCTACCAAATTAATCAGTCAAACTAGGTAGAACATAACTTGGGATATATTGTTCTTCCCTGAAATGAATGACTGTACATTCATTAATGTTGTTATGAATTAAAACTTCATCATCACAGGGAGTTTCCAGTTGGTCCAACGGTTAAGACTCCATGCTTCCACTGCAGGGGCACAGGTTCAATCCCTGGTCAAGGAATCAAGATACTGAGTGCCCTGAGGTGTGGCCAAAAATTAAAAAACAAAAGACAAACCAGACAAAACACTGCATCACCACTATCTAGCCAGTGACTGGCAAATTGGCATACTAATATTGTTGAATAAAGGAATGGCTATCACCACAATTTACAGAGGATATGTTAAAATATCCCAAGTGGAAAAGCCAACATTCTTCACTCAGAAGAACAATTTTTATTCTTACAAATAAAGAAATGCCTTGTGACAGAATATTAGAATCAGATATTTTAACAGGGGTGGAGTTGTGCAAATGTCATCGCCTTCCTCTATTACTTGGAGGGAGTCTCCAGGATTCCATGGACAGAGACAGTACCAACCTTCTGTAAACTTGCATCTATATTAAGCAAAGTGTTTTCATACATGTGTAACTGCATCTGAAAAGAAACACATTTAGGGAAGGCCACTGGGACATTGCTTTTGTAAAGGACAATGCCACAAAATCATGGCAGAATCAGGAGACATGTTTCTGAAGCACTTTTTATATGCATGCATTTTTCACTTTATAAAGAGCCTTTCCAATAGCCTCACAACAACCCTCAAAGCCAAGGTCATTGCCCTCTCTCTACCAGGAAGGAAACCAAAGCTCAGCACTATCCAGAGACTTGCCCGGTCACACCTAGTCAGTGACAGAACAGAGTCTAGAATCTGAGTCTCCAACTCCAGCCAAGGGCTCTTCCCACTGTTTCACACTTTACATAATAAGAGGACATTGAGTGTGTTCATTTTTTGGTGAAAATAAAAATGTAGGTAGGACATGAACAGAGACTCCATGTGGGCATGTGAAAGGCTCTTCTTTTAAAAAGCAGTTTAAAAATGTTCAAGCTTCCTTTTAGCAAAGTGAATATTAAGGATATTATCAGTTTATTCAAACCAAAAGCAAGCTTGTTGGCATAGACTTCTTAGTAGGATGTAATTGAGAAAAATGTATATTATTTGAATGGAAAACTCTGAAAAATAATAGCATAGTCAGAAGTAGAATTGTCATCTGAATCATACATGTTTGATATTCATTTATAGTTCTCAAGTATTTTCACATAATCCTTTCATTTGAGTTTCCAACAAGCTTGTGAATGAGGTACCCATTTAATAGATGGAAAAACTGAGATTTAAAGAAGTTAACTAATTGCTTGGGGTTAAAAGCTTTTACCCTGGAGAAGAAAATGGCAACCCACTTCAGTATTCTTGCCTGGAGAATTCCCATGGACAGAGGAGCTTGGCAGGCTACAGTCCATGGGGTCGAAAGAGTTGGACAAGACTTAGTGACTAAACCACCACTGCCATAAATTTTTTAAGTCGAGAAGACAGGATTTGAATCCACATCTTCTCTGGCTCTTTCCACTAGTTTATGGCAGTTATATTATCCAAAACAGTCATTCCCAGAATAAAATCAATGTTTAACGTCTACATTATGATGGCTATAATATATATATATATATATATATACATACACACATGGAATCGGGTGTCTGCTAGGAAAAGTGAGAATTCCACATATAGATATGAATTTTAAGTATATCATTTCAAACATATACTAAAGCAAAAATACTGTTCAAATAAACCATCAGAGATAACAAAAAGCATGACACAAATTCCTGACTTTAGTAATAGTTACCTTCTGTTTCCTGATAATAAAGAATGGCAGATATAATGAAAAGATACTTTTATCAATAGAGATTAAAAAATCATTTTTGTAAGATATAATTTCTTAATTCAATAGAGTTGAATTAAAAAATCAAGATGGACTTTTTCCCCCATCTTTTACTTTTTGCATTAAGAAGGTACAATAGCTGAACTTTTCCCTGATGAATTTGAAAAATTAGATACTATTAAATTAGAAATTGTCACTATAATAAAAAATATAAATAATAGCAAATGTTGGCAAGGATGTGGAGTAATTTGAACCCTCATACATAGCTAATGGAAATGTAAAATGGTATAGCTACTTTGGAAAAAAATCTGGCAGTTCCTCAAAAGGTTAAACACAGTTATCATATGATGCAGTAATTCGACTCTTAGTTACATACTCAAGAGAAATTAAAATTTACATCCACACAAAAATTTATACATGAATATTCATAGCACCATTACTCATTATAGTAAAAAAAAAAAAGAAAAAAGTAGGAACAGTTTAAATGTCCAGCAATTGATGAATAAACAAAATGTGCTATATTCCTATAATGGACTCTTATTCAGCAATACAAGGAAATGAAGTAATGATATATACTATGACATGAATGAACTCTCAAAACACTAGTCTTAGTGAAGAAAGCCAGTCACAAAAGACAATATAATGTATATGACTCAATTTATATGAAATGTCCAGAATAGCTAAATCTATGGAGATAGAAAGCTGATTAGTGTTTGTCTAGTGTTGGGGAAGAATGGAAAATAATCACTGAAAGGATTTATTTTTGGATGATAAAAGTATTTTAAAACTGATTTTGGTGATGGTTGCACAACTCTGAATATATTTAATACTAAAAACCACTGACCTGTATACTCTGAGTGAATTTAATGGCATATGTGTTATGTATCAGTAAAGCTGCTACATTAAAAAAGCAGAAACTGCCTTTTATTTAACTCAGACATCTAGAGGAGTACAAATTTCAAAATTTATAATGAAAGGTCATTGTGTCAATGAGTCACAAACACCTTCATAAAGTAATATTAATTTGATGCAAGAAAATATTTTACCAGTATTTGAGAAGTGCTTACTTGGTGCTCTTTCTCAGTTTTAGACAAGTCCTCAATCTTCTCTTCCAATTTATATATATCCATAATGTTCTTAGCATTCTAATGTAAAATAAGATAGTATTCTTAGATTTAGACCCCAAAAAAATATAAAAGGACATCACAAAGTCTTTTTTAGAAAGTGATATTTTCATCATTGACATCGTAATCCATTTTAAACTAAGTGACAGAACTTTAGACTTTGTCCAAAAATAACACGATCTTTTTAATGTGATCATCCACGAATATTCTCAGTAATCCCTTCTTATTTTCCATTCCACATGGGCCACTCACTCCCTAGACATACCTTCAGACTTGTCATTACAGCAACTGGGACCCTTCTGTTACCTTAATCACAAAAGCATCTCCCTCTTCAACCATTACTTCTTGTCTTTCCAGATTACTTCTTTGTGCATCAACAAACCTTCAGTCCCCACTGAAGACTGCAATCCAATGATCCCACTACTTTCTCATTACTCTCCCACCTTCCCATGAACTCAGTCCCCTCTTGATTCAGCTTAAATTCTTCCATGGTCAATCATTCACAATCTCTTACTTCTACATCCCTTCAATTCCCTTGGCTGTCCCCTATTTCTTAATATTTTCTTAATTTCAGATTGCCATCCACTCCATGCCAGCACATTTTCCAATAACAATTGTTAAATAGAAATACAAATAAACCAATAGGTCACACATTAAATTTGTAAGCTTTAATCTCAAGGTTTTCTGATGATTATATCATACCTATTCAAACGGCCATTTGCCTAAAGCAAGGATTTGCAAACTATACCAACTGCCCTTCTCCATTCTCAGAGACCAACTCTGACTACTTGGATTTATAAATAAAGCCTTATGTAAGCTTTAATCTCAAGGTTTTCTGATGATTATATCATACCTATTCAAATGGCCATTTGCCTAAAGCAAGGATTTGCAAACTATACCAACTGCCCTTCTCCATTCTCAGAGACCAACTCTGACTACTTGGATTTATAAATAAAGCCTTCTTAAGACACAACTGAGCCCACTGTTTTCAAATTGTCCTCAGTTGCCTTCACCTTGCAATGGCAGAAGTGAGTGGTTGTGACAAAGTCCTTCTAGCCAGGCAAGCTTAAAAATATTTACAATCATGTCCTTTACAAAAAGTTTGCTAACTCCTGGCCTATTTCATTCTTTCTCTCTCCTTGAACTTCCAATACCTCCTCCAACATCCTCATTCTCAGTCAATGACTTTGCTCTGTATTTCACTGAGATATTAGAAACTATTCAGTTCAGTTCAGTCACTCAGTCATGCCCAACTCTTTGCAACCGCATGGACTGCAGCACGCCAGTCCTCCCTGCCCATTGCTAACTCCTGGAGTTTACTCAAACTCATGTCCAACGAATCGGTGATGCCACCCAACCGTGTCATTCTCTTTCATCCCCTTCTCCTCCTGCCTTCAGTCTTTCCCAGCATCAGGGTCTTTTCAAATGAGCCAGCTCTGCCATCAGGTGGCCAAAGTATCAGAGTTTCAGCTTCAGCATCAGTCCTTCCAATCAATATTCAGAACTGATCTCCTTTAGGATAGACTGGTTGGATCTCCTTGCAGTTCAAGGGACTCTCTAATAGAAACTATTAGAAGTGAATTTTCCATATTACTTGGATATATAATAAACACTTTGGGATATTATAAAGCATTTGCTGACCTGAATACTTTATCCACTTCTTTTGTTCCTGCTTTGGTCTAAGCTTTCACTGACTTTTGTCTGCTTTATTATTAATACAAGAGCCTCCTAATTGGTCTCCTCACTTCTTCCCTCACCCCACACTTGATTCTAAAGCCAGGAGCCAGAGAAATCTTGGTAAAACTGAAATTATATGATGTTACTCCTCTGCTCAAAACTGTTCAGCAGCTCCCATCTCACTCAGCATAAACAACCAGAGTCCAAACAATGCCTTTATGAGATCCTGGGGGTCCAGGTTCCCACAACTATCTGTAGCACCTTGTGGTACTTATTCCCTCTGCTCCAGCCACACTGATCTTGCTATCCCTTAAAAATGGTGGGCAGGCTACAGCCTGAAGACTTTGGACTTGCTATTTCCTCTGCCATCAGTGCTCTTTGAGATGAACCTCAGAGTTTTTAACCAAAAATTAACTTCACAGTTCAACTTTTCCTAACCACCCAATAAACTAGGGTTTATAAAGTAAACCTTTATTTTTGTGTTTTTGACCACAAGGCAGGTGGAATTTTAGCTCCAAGACCAGGCATCAAACCCACATTCCCTGCATTGAAAGGTGGAGTCTTAACCACTGGACCACCAGGGAAGTCCCCTAACCACCCTAGTTTAAATCGCTGTTTTCTGTCCTTCTTCTTTTGGTGGCATTAATCCCATTTAACATGCTAGTTTCACACAGGCTATTTTGCTTAAGTCCATATTCACTTAGCATAGAGTCTGTCTCCCAGTGAATGTGTGTATAAGAAGTGAATAAATGTAAGTGAATAATTGGCTTTCCCAATGGCTCAGTGGGTGAAGAATTCACCTGCAAATTCAGAAGACACAGGAGATGTGGGTTTGATCCCTGGGTCAGGAAGGTCCCCTGGAGGAGGAAATGGCAACCTACTCCAGTATTCTCACCTGAAAAATCCCATGGACAGAGGAGCCAGGCGGGCTATAGTCCATAGGTTTGCAAAGAGTAGGACACGACTGAGTGACTAAGCACTCCATCGAATAATTACCCAAGCCATTGTGCTGTCACTCTTCACTATGCATCAGATTTTTACCTCCTAAAGGAAACCTAGCGACATCTATATGCCTTTTCTAACACAAGTCAATCATTGTAATGCCATCTCATGAAGAAGAGTTCTAAGTCTCCTTTCTTCTATCTCAATTCTAAATTGGTATACTACAATTCTTTAACTTCTTTTGTTCCTGCTTTGGTCTAAGCTTTCACTGACTTTTGTCTGCTTTATTATTAATACAAGAGCCTCCTAATTGGTCTCCTCACTTCTTCCCTCACCCCACACTTGATTCTAAAGCCAGGAGCCAGAGAAATCTTGGTAAAACTGAAATTATATGATGTTACTCCTCTGCTCAAAACTGTTCAGCAGCTCCCATCTCACTCAGCATAAACAACCAGAGTCCAAACAATGCCTTTATGAGATCCTGGGGGTCCAGGTTCCCACAACTATCTGTAGCACCTTGTGGTACTTATTCCCTCTGCTCCAGCCACACTGATCTTGCTATCCCTTAAAAATGGTGGGCAGGCTACAGCCTGAAGACTTTGGACTTGCTATTTCCTCTGCCATCAGTGCTCTTTGAGATGAACCTCAGAGTTTTTAACCAAAAATTAACTTCACAGTTCAACTTTTCCTAACCACCCAATAAACTAGGGTTTATAAAGTAAACCTTTATTTTTGTGTTTTTGACCACAAGGCAGGTGGAATTTTAGCTCCAAGACCAGGCATCAAACCCACATTCCCTGCATTGAAAGGTGGAGTCTTAACCACTGGACCACCAGGGAAGTCCCCTAACCACCCTAGTTTAAATCGCTGTTTTCTGTCCTTCTTCTTTTGGTGGCATTAATCCCATTTAACATGCTAGTTTCACACAGGCTATTTTGCTTAAGTCCATATTCACTTAGCATAGAGTCTGTCTCCCAGTGAATGTGTGTATAAGAAGTGAATAAATGTAAGTGAATAATTGGCTTTCCCAATGGCTCAGTGGGTGAAGAATTCACCTGCAAATTCAGAAGACACAGGAGATGTGGGTTTGATCCCTGGGTCAGGAAGGTCCCCTGGAGGAGGAAATGGCAACCTACTCCAGTATTCTCACCTGAAAAATCCCATGGACAGAGGAGCCAGGCGGGCTATAGTCCATAGGTTTGCAAAGAGTAGGACACGACTGAGTGACTAAGCACTCCATCGAATAATTACCCAAGCCATTGTGCTGTCACTCTTCACTATGCATCAGATTTTTACCTCCTAAAGGAAACCTAGCGACATCTATATGCCTTTTCTAACACAAGTCAATCATTGTAATGCCATCTCATGAAGAAGAGTTCTAAGTCTCCTTCCTTCTATCTCAATTCTAAATTGGTATACTACAATTCTTTGATGGTAGTCAATCATCTTAAATATGAGAAGAAAAATATATTACTTTGGGAACTTACTTCAAAAGCACTAGTTTCATGGAAACCTGGCCTGGCAGCTGTAATATATCTAAATAAAATACAAGATTTCTTTCCAATCTTTAGCTGTTCCTTTCCAATCCATTATGAATGTCCACTTAGGCCATAAATTGGATAACTCTTCAGATCATTCACCTCAGCTTAATAAATAACTGTAATAAACTTTTATAAAGCACAACCAAAAAACTGTACATAATGATTGACACTCAAAAGCTACCTATAGAGAATTTTTTTTCAAAACAGTAACTTACTAATAGCTTTTCTACCTGTTCTTTCAATGTTTTAATGTGTTGCTTAAAAATACATATTGTATAAAAGTTTTCTTCTTTTAAAAGATTTTACTAATATTTCCTAACATATATGAGGTATATTATGGTTAACCAAATGGCTTCACATGCATTATCTTAACCTTTAAAGTAACTGTAGGGAATAGGTATTATTAATCCCTCAAAAGATAAATGGCCTTTCCAAAGTCAGACTGTCAAAGAATTTAAGATCTGGGTCTTAGAGTCAATGACCTTTGCCATCTAGTTTTGTGGAATAATATTGGAAAATTATTAAATAACATCTACACTTCCCTTCTTGATTTGTACACTTTTTAGATGGGTTAATTTCATTTCATCTTAAGTCTGAATTTCTTAAATCCTATTTCCTCATGGAGGATTACAAAGGTAATATACTTCTGTCCAGACAGGAAAATCCTATCTACTCTTCCTCACTTGTCATTTGACAAAGCAACCTAGTATTTTGCCCACAGGAGCCTGAAATTCACACGATTTATATTTAACCCAGGGTCAGGACTCACAATTGTATGATTTCCATGTTTATCTGTATAGTCTGTTTAACAATTTCAACATACCTCTTCTTGGAGAATCCGAATCTTAAGAATCAGAGCCCGGTTTTCTGTCTCCTGATTTATTAAGAGAAACATAATTTAAAAGTATTTGAGAAGCTTATGAAAATACCAAATATTTACTTCCAGAGTTATCAACATTTGTTCATCAATCTTAAATATAGCACTGACATATTGCACATGAGCCTAGCCTGAAAATATTCTCAATATGGGGTTAAGCCTTTGGCTTCCGGTTTCTTGGTATCAGTGAGAAGTCACTCTCCTCCTTGACTCAATCTAACTATGACAGAGAAGGAAAGATGAGAAACAAAACAAAAAAGGTTATGTGGTTTGCCTAAAGTTACACAGCCCTCAGAAACAGGGCTTGCATGTTTTCAGCCTGACTCCCAAAAGTGGGCTCTTGGTCACTGCTCTACATGACTTCCACATAGAAGTTCTTTAGTGGTCCCAGACTCAGTCCTTGCTGTAATGTATCCATAGAGACTTGCAGAGTCACCTGATAGTGAGTCCAGTCTCCACATTTTATTGTTGAGGCAAAAGCTAAGCTAAGCTGTCTTGGTTGTAGGAGGTCATGAGTGAAAGACACAGGCCTGAAATTCAAGTTTCCTGATAACTTACAGACCTAAAAATAAATCAGTCTGAATGACTTTCAGCGGACCCCCCCTCCCAACCATGGTCAGCAATGCTCAAATAGTGCTAGAGGGATTTTGAAGATTATTACTGAAGCTCCAGAGAATAGTTTAACAGTCTCCATAAAAATAATTACTTCTCTGGTAGTTGAAGCTAAGTCTAAATAATGTTTTGCTCCAAAAATTATAAGCCTGGGCTTATTTAGTGTTAAGGACTGATTAATGGAGCTAATTAGTAACCTGTACCTGCTGAAAAAATGAATGTTTTTAAAAACCCGAGAAAAAGGTGAAAGTTTGACACACAATTTTTTTTTTTGGAAGATGTGATTTTCAGTGTCAGATATTTATAAATTCACCTGTTAACTTCGGAAGGCATTCTAGATCTTCACAAACCACTGCAAATGTAACATTTGTAAAGAATTTTAATCCTGGTTGAAAGGAAAACAATTTTTCTATCCTACTTGCCTTTAATTCATCAGCCTACTGATTTCCGATCTTTGCCTCCAAATAAACCATCTTGGATTGCAGTTAAATAAACTATCCGCCAATTTCAAAGTACTTGGATGACTTACTAACTGTTTGTTCTGGGCTACAATCATGGTCTTCTGTTCTTCTGAAGCATTCATACTAATTTTCAGTTCCTCCAGTTCTTCTTTTAACAGGTTTGTTCTCATAATAGCCTGGTGGGCACTGTGGGGGTGGGGAGAGAAGGCAATAAGCAAAACCTCAAATATAACCGTCAAAGATACTAACTAAAGCCACGGACTGTTTTTAAGCTCCAAGTTAAAAACCACTGAAAATTCAAACCAGATGCCGACATTAGTAAAAAATAAAAAAATTTTTTTTTTTACTCAAGATCTTCCATAGTCCTTAAAAAGGAAAGGGATTCGGTTAGCATACACTGGGAGATAAAGGATAGAAGGAAACATATTCCTGAAGACAAAGACTGGCATACTTCCTTTGGAATCTGCTACTGCTGCTGCTAAGTCACTTCAGTCGTGTCCAACTCTGTGCAACCCCATCCCTGGGATTTTCCAGGCAAGAACACTGGAGTGGGTTGCCATTTCCTTCTCCAAATCTATCACTGGCTAAATCACACAGTTCTTTCCTTCTACTACTAAGACATAATATTAGTTAATATAATTATACAAATATTTATTAAGTAACATCACACATTCACTCAAGCATAGCTTGTTTTCTTTTAAAAAAAACTTTGAGTTATTATATTTCAAATACATGAGCCAACAATGGAATGGAGAGAGCTTGAAGTTAGCTTTTTTTTTTTTAGCATTTTTTTTAAAGTTATAGATTGGGGGACTTCCCTGGTGGTCCAATGGCTAAAATTCTGCACTCCCAATGCAGGTGGCCCAGGTTTGATCCCTGATCAGGGAACTGGATCCCACATGCTGCAACTAAAGATCCTACACTCTGCAATGAAGACTTGGTGCAACCAAATAAATACATATACATGTATGTATTTAATTTTATAGGTTGATTTGGAGTATGGTCAAAAATTGTGAGGGCAGGAGTTCATGGTCAGAATGCTTTTCTATTTTTTCAAGTTAAGTGAGAACTTTTCTGTTCAGAATTTTAGCACCTATGACACCTGTACACACAGACTTTGTGAGAACCAGGTTGCTTGTTTTCTGATGTTCAAGTTTGTCCCACTTTATCTATTTTACCAGTGTCTGCACTTGATCGATTACGTCCTCAAGGTCCAGTATCCCTTTCTAGCTTAAGCTAAGGTAATGAATGTTCTTATCATCCTTCTAGGCTACAGGTACCCTGTTGCTGTTCAGTCTCCAAATCATGTCTGACTCTTCGCAACTGCATGGACTGCAGCACACCAGGCTTCTATGTCCCTCCCCATCTCCCAGAATTTGCCCAAGTTCGTGTCCATTGAATCGGTGATGCGATCCAACCATCTCATCCTCTGTTGCTCTCTTCTCCTTCTGCCTTCAATCTTTCCCAGCATCAGGGTCTTTCCCAATGAGTCAGCTGTTTGCATCAGGTGGCCAAACAGGTACCCTGAGGGCACATTTTAAACCTGACTCATCAATGAATCTCTCATAGTACTTAGCATGGAACTTTGCACAGAGTAAGAGTTCTAGTGAACCACTGAATGTTGGGATAGATTTACACTTGACCTGTATGCATACTGGTCTTACACAGAGACTTGAAGGATATAGAGAACATCATTGCTAGAAAAGAACAAACGTTGCTGATGGGAAAGTAAAGTTGCTTTACTGGTGGGAAAATAAAGTTGTTTTCCAAAGTCACTTTGGAACTTTGGAAAAGTTTGGCAGTTCCTCAATCTGCAAAGTGTAAGTTGCAGGCATGCATGCTAAGTTGCTTCAGTCATGTCTGACTCTTTGTGACCCTATGGGCTGTACCCCGCCAGGCTCCTCTGTCCATGGGATTCTCCAGGCAAGAATACTGGAGTGGGTGACCATTTCCTTCTCCACGGGATCTTCCAGACCCAGGGATTAAACCTGTGTCTCTTATGTCTCCTGCACTGACAGGTAAATTCTTTACAACCAGTGCTACCTGGGTAGCCCTAAAGTATAGGTTGAAAGTGAAAGTCACTCAGTCATGTCCAACTCTTTGTGACCCCAGGGACTATACAGTCCATGGAATTCTCCAGGCCAGAATACTGGAGTGGATAGCCTTTCTGTTCTCCAGGGAAACTTCCCAACCCAGGGATCAAACCCAGGTCTCCTGCATTGCAGGCAGATTCTTTACCAGCTGAGTCACAAGGGAAGCCCAAGAATACTGGAGTGGATAGCCTATCCCTTTTCCAGCGGATCTTCCTGACCCAGGAATTGAAATGAGGTCTCCTACATTGCAGGTGGATTCTTTACCAATTGAACTATCAGGGAAGACCAAAGTATAGGTCTTAAAAAGTATAGCAATTTCACTCCTAGATACATAACCAAGAAAACAGAAAACATATGACCCCATAAAAACTTGCATACAAATGTTCATAACAGCAGCTTTTTTCCCCCCAATTATTTTTATTAGTTGGAGGCTAATTACTTTACAATATTGTAGTGGTTTTTGCCATACATTGACATGAATCAGCCATGGATTTACATGTGTTCCCCATCCTCAACCCCCCTCCCACCTCCCTCCCCATCCCATCCCTCTGGGTCTTCCCAGTGCACCAGCCCCAAGCACTTGTCTCATGCATCCAACCTGGACTGGCGATCTGTTTCACACTTGATAATATACATGTTTCGATGCTGTTCTCTCAGATCATCTCACCCTCGCCTTCTCCCATAGAGTCCAAAAATCTGTTCTGTACATCTGTGTCTCTTTTTCTGTCTTGCATATAGGATTATCATTACCATCTTTCTAAATTCCATATATATGTGTTAGTATACTGTATTGGTGTTTATCTTTCTGGCTTACTTCACTCTGTATAATGGGCTCCAGTTTTATCTATCTCATTAGAAGTGATCCAAATGTATTCTTTTTAATGGCTGAGTAATATTCCATTTTGTATATGTACCACAGCTTTCTCATCCATTCGTCTAACAGCAGCTTTTTTAAGTGCCAAAAAGTGATGTTAACCCAAATGTCCAAACTGAGGTATATTTATACAATGGAATATTATTCAGTCATAAAAAAGAATGAAGTAGCAATATATGCTTCAACATGGATGAACTTTGAGAATGTGATACTAAATGAAAGAAGTCAAACACAAAGGTCACATACTGTATGATTCCATGAATATGAAAATGTTCAGAATAGACAAATCCATAGAGATACAAAGTAGATTAGTGGTTGCCAGGGGCTGAGAGGGGAGGACATAGGGAGTGGCTGTTACTCAGTATGGGATTTCTTTTTGAAGTGATTAAATGTCTCGATCACTTGAATATACTTGATATCATGTGAATACATCATGTGGATATACTTGTGAATAACTGGAATTAGATCATGTGAATAACTTGTGAATATACTAAAAACCACTAAACTAATTGTATACCTCAACAGGGTGACTCTTCTGCTTTGTGACTTGTATCTCGATAAAAAACAAATTTATTTTAAAAAAAGGAAAAAAATGAAAAGGAACTGAAAGTTCCCAGCACACAGTACCCACACCAAGGCTCACCTTTTCACCCGAAGGCGCAGTTCAGTACAGTCCTCTGATAACTCTCTGTTTGTTTCTTCCAAGTTTTCTAATGCCAATTTCAATTTATTATTTTCCTCTTCCAATTTCTGCTTGTTGAAATGCAGGTCTGCTATATAGGTAATCAAATCAGGCACCTCTCTGCGGTAAAAGGATGAATGAGCATAAACTTCAACAACACTAATCCCTTCGAGTCAAAGTAAGGCTTATGGGTAAGCCCGAACAAGCTTAAATCTTCCTGTGAGGACTTCCCTGTTGGTCCAATAGTTAACAATCCATCTGTCAGTGTAGGGGACACAGGTTCAATCCCTGGTCCAGGAAGATTCCACATGCTGCGGAGCAACTAAGCCTTGTAGGCCACAACTGCCGAAGCCCTCCCAGCCTAGGCCCCGTGTGCCACAACTTACTGAGTTCTCATCCTGTAACTACTGAAGCCCACTTGCCTAGAGCCTTTGCTGTGCAAAAAAAACAAGCCGCCACAGTAAGACACCCGAGCACCGCAACAAAGAGTAGCTTCCAACCGCCACATGCAGCGACGAAGATCCAGCACAACCAAGAATAAGTAAATAAAGAAGATTTTCTACTTTATTTTCATTCATCCTCATAAACACAGTTCACATACACAGTATTTATTCAAGCACTTATTACAATAACACCACAGATTTTTCCAAAATTGCCAGATATTTAGCATCTGCCACTTGTGAAATCGATTTTTACAGCTTTCGTTTCTTCCTCTTCACTTTGCTCCCAACTTCTGCCTTTATCTACACTGAAGAGTTCCCACTTCTGCCGGGGTTATGGAAAAGTCCTGAAATAAACTGACACTGGATTCTTTCAATCAGAAATCTTGGCAGGTTTCAACAGGCCTTGAACTAGGAAACAATTCCTAGAGCTTTATCATTGCAGCCTGTAGCTCACAATTTAGTACTCATTGTTCCTAGTACTTTCTACAGCTTGTTAATATTTGTGGCTGTCACGCTTGCCCTGACATTTGATCCTTAACCCTTTGAGAGTCTGAGCTGTGTTTTTCAAGGAGTCCCAGGCCTCCTCTCCTTTGCCATCTTTTCCCAGAGTTAAGCACCAGTTGGCTACATGGTTCCTAGTCCACATTTTTTGCACAGATAAATATGAAGTGGCAGAGATAAAATAAGGAAGGACAGGTCTAGTGCTTCAACTCTGAGCTTCCAAAACAGAGACTTGGGTTCACAGCTAAGATCCCACAAGCCACATGTTGGTTAAGCCAAAAAAATTTTTTTTAAATAAAAATAAAGAACAGAGTCACTTCTCCTTAATATCTAAACTCATATGTAGCAGAAAACAGCTTTTCTCATTCACATCTATAAGTATCTATTGAAGAAGTAATAAGGATTGACATATATACACTACCATATATAAAATAGCTAGCTAGTGGGAACCTGCTATAAAGCAGAGGGAGCTCAGCTTGGTGTTCTAAAATGATCTAGATGAGTGGGATGGGAGGGACATCCAAGAGAGAGGGATATAGGTCTACATATAGCTGATCCACTTCATTGTACAACAGAAACTAATACAACATTATAAAGCATTTACACTCCAACTAGAAAAAAAAAAAAAGCAATCCCCCAAAGAGCTTATGGTCAATGTCATAACTCTATATACAATGGAATTTGTCAGGGGTGGAAAACACATAAAGTCAAAGAAGGGTAGTTTTCATGAGTGAGAAAATGTTCATTTATGTGACACTTCATAATCTTTTATAATTTGTGTTCCTAGTGAAACTACTTCTAATGCAATTGGGATATAATAGCTAAGAGTTAAAAATAAATTATGTTAGCCCTACCACACATGCACACAAGTAGAGCTAAGTGACTATACCATAAATAAAATACATGAAAAAGTTGAAAGTGTTAGTTACTCAGTCACGTCTGACTCTTTGAGATCTCATGAATTGTAGCCCACCAGGCTCCTCTGTCTATGGAATTCTCCAGGCAAGAATACTGGAGTGGGTTGCCATTCCCTTCTCCAGGAGATCCTCCAGACCCAGGGATTAAACCCGGGTCTCCTGAATTGCTTTGCCAATGTTAATTTGCCAACGTTACTTTGCCAACAAAGGTCTGTCTAGTCAAAGCTATGGTTTTTCCAGTAGTCACGTATGGATGAGAGTTGGACCATAAAGAAGGCCGGGTGCCGAAGAATTGATGCTTTTGAACTGTGGTGTTGGAGAAGACTCTTGAGAGTCCCTTGGACTGCCAGGAGATCAAACCAGTTCATCCTAAAGGAAATCAGTCCTGAATATTCATTAGAAGGACTGATGCTGAAGCTCCAATACTTTGGCCACCTGATGCAAAGAACTGACTCATTGGAAAAGACACTGATGTTGGGAAAGATTGAAGGCAGGAGGAGAAGGGTACAACAGAGGATGGGATGATTGGATTGCATCACCAACTCGATAGACCTAAGTTTGGGCAAGCTCTGGGAGTTGGTGATGAACAGGGAAGCCCGGCATGCTGCAGTCCACGGAGTCACAAAAAGTCAGACACGACTGAGTGACTGAAATGAACTGAACTGAACTCCTGCATTGCAGGCAGATTCTTTACTGTCGGAGACAGCAGAGAAGCCCAGAAATAAAATAAAATACATAGATCTATGAAGCAAGAAAATCCATAAGAAAAGTTGAGGCACTTGAGAAAATATTACAAGTAAGAATGCTTACAAGACTCCTTTAGGCAAGTCTCCACCCAACCCCTTGAAGTTCCGTGATGAAGAATCTGTTATATCTGTGGTCATCTTAACTGAAACACACACAAGAGAGTTTAATAAAAAAAAAATCCATTTCTCCAAACCACAATAAAGTGGCAGAACAATCCCAAAGAAACACATACATACTTGCTTCACATGATTTTATGCTGTCCTGTTCAAAAGCAGAGTCAACCATTCTGCTGCTTGATCCACTATTCTCTCCTTCCCTGTGGCCAAAAAATAAAACCAGTGAGCTAGGATTCTTTCCTAAACCAAAGCTTAGCCAGTTTTTCAGATGTGTTCTATATTTTCTTATTGATGTTGGTCCTTCTGAATTTTAAAATCATCTATCCATTTGGCCACAATTGGGAGTCCAACACTGTTCTTAAACAGAGTCATAGAAAAGAAACATATTGTCTCTACCTCCTATAAACTTTAATCTAACATGAAGAAAAGAATATGAATGCATAAATAAGTAGGTGATAATGTACATAGCTATAATTAGGCAATGGGAGTCTCAATGGATTAGGAAGCTGACATGATGTGGAAGACTAAGTGGACACTTGTAGAGGTAGCAAGACGTTGGGCCTTAGAGAATTAGGAAGGAAAAGGCATGGACGGCTAATAATTTGGGACACAGTGAAGGTGCTCTTTTCTCTCTGTCATAAAAAACCAAGTTGAACTAATTGTAGTTTGGAGCACATCATTCCTGATATTTGGAGAACCCTATTCACAGGCCTCTGCCCAGGACACCCCCAAATAAACATATTAACACTTTAACCATTTCTTTTCCAAGAGTCTTTGTATTATGATTTCAGTTTTGCTGCCTAATCTTAGCAATTGCCAAACCCTTAGATAATCTCTTCGGAGCAGCTACAAAAGCCTCTAGACTAGTATTTACATCCTATTGTGTTTCAACATAAGATGTTTGTCAGAAGATGACTAAGCAGAATAGCTCAGTCATCACTCTCACTATTCTTATTAATAGATCCACACCCATCACCATTTCTGAGTTTCTGTTCTTATATTTTATATTTATATCTCCCATGTTCTTTTTCTTTTCCTTTATATTTGTCATAAAAACAAATTTTCTCTTTTGCCCTCACTCCACTTTACCCATGGATTATTGATATCTGTATTATACAATCAAGCCTAAATATTTTAGGAAAAGTAGAAAATTCATAAGAAAATAAGACAAAGAAGCTAAGGTCTTCATGCAAAGATAATCATTTTGGAATATATTCCTTCCCACTTTTTCCTGTGCATATTTTTATTTCTCAACAAATATGGGAGTGTACTACATTTACAGATCTATGGCTGATAATTTAAAATAAATACATATGAATATTTCTCCTGTCAAATATTTATTTAATTATAATTTTGAGTGACTAATTAGGATTCTAGAGTATGGAAGTATCATCATTTATTTGTCCAGCCACCTACTATTAAATATTTGGTTTGCTTACATTTATCATAATCATAAACAACATTCTGCATATAGAGTATACAATTGGTTGTCTTTCCTGAAGTTACATAATTTGACCACATTGCATATTTCTAAGGCTCTGATGCTTATGTTGTGCTCAGTCGCTCAGTGGTGTCTATCTCTCTGTAGCCGCATGGACTACAGCCCCCCAGCCTCCTCTTGTCCATGAAATTTTTCAGGTAAGAATACTGGAGTGGGTTGCCATTTTCTTCCTCCAGGATATCTTCCCAACCTAGGGATCAAATTGCATCTCTTGCATTGTCAGTAGATTCTTTACCACAGAGCTACCTGGGAAACCACACATACCTAAACTGCCCTTGAAAAGCTGTGCCAACTTGCACTATTACCAACAAGGAGAAGGCCTATTTCTCCACCCACCCTGACAACATGGGATAGAGTCATTCCTCTAAACCTTTGTCAAATTGATGTTACTATCAGATAATATTTCCTATCAGTGCAAAAAACAGTGATTAACATTCATTGTAATCAATTGTTAAATCAGAACCTGAAAACGCATCCTGCTGGGACTATGATTACCATTTGTTTCTGCAGTGAGCCATCATCCATTCCTTCACAGTGGCCTGGAAGGTTTCCAGGTTCACGTGTACATCTCTCTTTCCAGGATCAAGCATGATCCACAGCTCCTCAAGGCCATCATCTTCAGAACCTTGATTAGTTGTCTGTCTCAGATAATCTATTATTTTGGTGACTCTGACTAAGCCTTAGAAAGAAGAAAGTCAAGTTAGTTTTTAAAGGTGGCAAAAGATTATTATTTTTTTTTTAAGTGAGGTGCTTAACTCGTTCAAGTCTCTTGGGTCCTGGAAATGTGCCTTATAACCCTCGCAATCCTGCTGAGTTGACGTCATAAAGTAGAAAGAGTACTGGCCTTAGGTTGGAGTCTAACCAACTGGGGTCGAATCTTGGCTCTGGACTGTACCAGCTGTGTGGCTCTGGGGAAATTACTCAGTCTCTTTGAGTGAGTGTCCTCATCTGTGAAATGATGCCTCCTACAAAGAGTTGTGAGATTCAAATAGGAAAGACTTATGTAATCAATAGGCTTCTCAGATGGTGCAGTAAAGAATCTGCCTGCCAATGCAATTCACAAGAGATGAGGATTCGATCCCTTGGTTGGGAAGATCATCTGGAGGATGAAACGGCAACCCTCTCTAGTATTCTTGCCTGGGAAATCCCATGGACAGAGGAGCCTGATGGGCTACAGTCCATGGGGTCGCAAAGAGTCAGGCATGACTAAGCAACTGAGCTCACACACACACACACACACACACACACACATACATACACACACACGTAATCAATAATCACTTGTGGGAAGTGGTCAAAATGCCACTTTATTTTTCTCTTCCATTCTTTCTTTAAAAAACATTTAGTGGGGACTTCCCTTGTAATCCAATGGTTAAGAATCCACCTTCCAATGCAGGGCACTCAGGTTCAATTCCTGGTCAGAGAATTAAGATCCCACAATCTGTGCGGCAACTAAGCCCTGGAGCTGCAGCAACTACTGAGCCCTCACACTGCAACTGGAGAAGCCCACGAGCCACAGGGAAGATCCTGCCTGTTGCAGCATGTAAATAAATATTTTAAAAAAGCATTCAGTGAAGAAAGGGTTTCCTTGGCCCTAGGCGAAATTTTCCGCCTCATGTAAGTAGTTTGACTCTTTGGGGCGGAGAGGGAGGGATGGAAAAGTCATTCTTAGATATAATCAGTCCTCCTATCACATTCAGAAATTAAAGTCATACAGACTGTGTTAGTAATTAACACACCAGTCTTTCTCAAGCATAAGACATCTTTTCTACTCTTAACTAAGGCCTGCCTTGGGCTAGCAGCTTAAAGAGGGAAGGAAAAGGAAGCTGAAGTTTGATAGGGTGAAGATTCTTACCCTAGGAGGTAAATAGAGACACTAATATTTTTAAAAAATATTTTTTTAATAAAAGAATAAGCTTAGTACATAATTTGGAAAAGAGAGCTGTCAAGGAAATTGAATGACTTTAAAGAATGCATTAATTTAATGGAAAATGTCATTAGGCTGTGACAGGAAGAAACGGAAATAAACTTTTAATAGTTATTTAGAAAGACAATTTTTACTCCTGTTTGCATAATTGGAGAGGTGGGAAGTCAAAGGGAATACCTTATATCCCATTTTCCTCCACTAAAGCTCTAAAATCTGATCTTATACCTCAAAACCAGAAAGATCTCCTGAGATGTTTCTTTAATGTGTCAACTTAACTGGGCCATGGAGTGCCCAGTTATGTGGTCAAATATGATTCTGGTTGTTTCTGTGAGGGTGTTTTAGAAAGAGATTAAGATTTAAATTGGTAGAATAACACAGGCTGCTGTCCCCTAATGCAAGTGAGCCTGAATAGAACAAAAATGCAGACCCTTCCCCAAGTGAGAGAGACTTCTTCCTGCATGATTGCCTTGGAACCAAGACTTATCTTTTTTCCTAACTTTGGACTTGAACAGAAACATCAGCTCTTCTTCAGTTTCCAGCCTGTTGACCTTTGGACAGGTTGTCTCCTGGTTCTCAGGCCTTTGGACACTGACTGGAAGGACACCATCAAAAGTTCTCTGGGTCTCCATCTTCAGCTTGCTCACTTACCCTGCAGATCTTTGAACACACCTGCCTCCATAATCACATGAGCCAGTTCCTTATAATTGTGCGTCTGTGCCTGCGTGCTCATGTCTGATTCTGCGACCCCATGGGCTGTAGCCCACCATGCTCCTCTGTCCATGGAACCTTCCAGGAAAGAACACTGGAATGGGTTTGCCATTTGCTTCTCTTCTTCCCAACGATTGAACCCGCATCTCCTGTGTCTCCTGCATTGTAGGTGGATCTTTACCATTGAGCCATCAGGGAAGCCCCAATTCCTTTTAATACATCTCTTTCTATATTTTACACACACACACACACACCCTGTTGGTTCTGTTCTAATACATCTCCCATCTCCCTTTAATGGAGTTTCCTTATTTTCTTCTGGGAAACAATTCCTTAAATCCTGTCCATGCAGAGAGGCTTACCAGGAATAAATAAGTCCCATTCATCCTACCAATATAATTAAGAGTACAGGTAAATGTTTTGTTATAAGAATGTTCATTATGGTTTATTATGGTTATTTTTGTGCTTTTCATAATAGAGAAAAAATACCCAATTGAGACATATCATTTAAATATATTATGTTACATCCCCCTAAAGTACAATATACAGAGAAAATATATATTATTGACATAGACAAGTACTCAGAATTAATGAGTAAGAAAAAGCAGATTATACAGCAAGTCTGGAAACATTCCCATATACACTTAGGGAATATATTGCATATACCTTAAGGAGAAAATAATGACCAAAAAAAAGGTCTTAAACCATTTTTTGCAACCATACTGTGGCAGTGAGGTGGACAGATTACAGGCTTCCCCTTTATGATCCTTGCTTCCTAATGTTTACACCCTAGTGTAGTCTCCTCCCCTCGAGTGTGGGCATGACCTGGGACTTGCTTCTAACCGGTAGAATATGGCAAATGGGACAGGATATACATGTTGTTGTGATTAACTTACATGAGATCACAGTGCCTATCTTGCTAGGGCTTCCCTGGTGACTCAGCAGTAAAGAATCTGCCTATCAATGCAGGAGACCTGGGTTCAATCCCTGAGTCAGGAAGATCCCCTGGAGAAGGAACTGGCAACCCATTCCAGTATTCTTGCCTGGAGAATCCCATGGACAGAGGAGCATGGTAGGTTATAGTCCATGGGGTCTCCAAAGAGTTGGACACAACTTAGTTACTAACACTTTCAAACTTTTATCTTGCTGGAGTCACTCCTTTGCTGGCTTTGAAGAAGCAAATCTGCCATATTAGGGGCTTCCTATATTCAGAGGTGCAACTAGCAAGGAACTGTCTAGCTGACAGCAGCAAGACTCTGAAGTCTTCAGTCCTATAAGAGCAAGAAACGAATTCTGCCACCTAAGCAGATCACTCCCCACTTGAGCCACAGACGAAACTGCTAAGGCTAGTCAAGGAAAACTTAAGCACGAAACATTTTCTTTGCTCTTTGTCCTCCCCTCTCCCCTCTACTATGCATTGTGTATCTGCATTTTGCATCAACCAAACATCCCCATCGGCAGAAATACCTGCTCAACCATAAAGAGCAACATTATCCCAGCATCAACAAGACGACCCTAAAAAGATAACCTTCCTTCTTATAAGGAGCTAGGATGACCCATGACTCACTACTCACCTTATATGCTTAGATCTGGATTGTGTAAACTATTAATAATATGTACACCATTTAATGTACAGCCTTCTGTCTCAAAAATGTGCTCTGACTTTTAACAGGCCAAATGGTTCTCCGAGTTTTCTGAAAGGCTGTCCCTGGATTATCATTCTCACTTTGGCTTAAAATTTTCCATTGCTTTCTTAGATCAACTGATTCATTTTGTACAGACATTATAACGGAAAATAGTAACTTCACAAGATGGAGATTTGGCAGACACCACATTAATCAAGGGATCAAAGTTAAAAATCCTGGTACCTTGTCCTGAGAAGAGCATAACATCACTTCATAACATCACATCAGTAGTGTGCCTGCGAAAATGTACAGCCTGGATAATCAAGAGGAAATAGCAGACATTCTACAAAGTAGTTGGCATATAGTCTTCAAAAATTTCAAAGTCATAAAAGACAAAGAATCTGAGGAATTACTCCAGATAAAAGGAGACTGAAGAGATGTGAAAACTAAACATAGTGTGTGATTCTGAATTTGATTCTGGACCAGGAAACAAAAAAGCTATAAAGAACATTATTGGGGAAATAGACAAAATTTGAATACAGACATTTAAATTAGATGACAGTATCATATCAATGTTAAATATCCTAACTTGGATAATTGTTCTGCAGCTATGCAAGCAAATGTTCTTCTTTGTAGGAAATACACACTGATGTACTTCAGGGTAAAGAGACACAATATCTGGAGTTTATTTTATTTTATTTTATTTTTTGGAGTTTATTTTCAACTAGAAACACCATCAAGCTTTTATCCGGCCTTTCCTTTGGGAAACAAGACAGCCTTATAAAACTGATAAGCAGCATAGAGTTTCTCTTTATAGATATTCTCTAGATATTCTAGTTGATAAAGTAGGAAGGAATGATAAACTACTAACCTTCACAACATCTAATGAAAGAATAAATCTAGGCCTTCACTCTCAAATAGTTTTGTCTTTTGATAAAACTACATATACTGTGACTCCTCTGGTGGTTCAGTGGTTAAAACTCCATGCTTCTAATGCAGGGGGTGAGGGTTTGATCCCTGGTCAAGGAACTAAGATCCCACATGCCTGCCACTTGATGTAGTAAAAAAAAAAAAAACCCACACACCAAAATACACCATCTATACAGAGTCTTGCCAAAAAAAAAAAATATATATATAAAACATTTACGTGCTCAAGCCTCTAAATGTAGGGGACAAAAAAACAGGTTGTGTTTCTATGGCCACACAATCACTAAAATTCAGATTGGAGAAAAAGGAGATAAAAGAGCCAGTTTCATTAACAAATAACTTAAAATACAAAAAGAATGAAAAAGAAACAGAGGGATAAGCCAGATAACCAATAACAATGAACAACCCTTTCTTAGATACTGNAACAGAGGGATAAGCCAGATAACCAATAACAATGAACAACCCTTTCTTAGATACTGATTTGAACAAATCAACTGTTTAAGAAAACATAAATTTCTCATACAAATAAGAAAACTTGAATGTTGGTAAGGTATTTGATATTTTAAAATTACATGACATTTTTGGTCATAAAAATGACACTGTGCATGTGACATCTAGTGGGAAGTTTTGTATGGCACGAGAGCTCAGCTCGGGGCCCAGCAGTGACCTAGAGAGGTCGGATGTAGGGGTGGGAGGGAGACACCACAGGGAGCGTATATATGTGTACATATATCTGATTCACTTCACTGTACAACAGAAATGAACACAACATGGTAAACAATTCTACCCCAATAATACAATTTAAAAATAAAAATTTTTTAAAGACACTGTATAGCTGTATCTAAAATCAGTCTTTATCTCTTGAATGTACTGAAATGTTTACAGAAGAAACAATATGATGTCTTGGACTTGCCTCAAACTAATTCAGGCTTAGTGGGAGATAGTGGAGGACAGAAGAGCCTGGCAGGCTACAGTCCATGGGGTCACAAAGAGTCAGACACAACTTAGCAACTGAACAACAACAGGAACAATCCAGAGTGGAGCAGAGGGAAGTGGAGGAAAAATGAGACATCATTATTTATGACATATATATAAGGGTCATGATACCCTCTCCACTTCTGTATATGTCTGAAAATTTCTATAATGAAAAAGTTTTAATCCAAATGAAAGGAAACCACATTGACTGAGGAATTTGTCGGGGCAGGTTATACAATGAATCATTAACAGCGGTTACTCAGGGGAACAGGATAACTGATGAGTTCTTTTTCCCTTTCTTTCCTCCATATTATTAATTTTGCTACAGTGATCATGAACCATTGACATGCTAAACATTGCGGAAATTTTAAAAAAAGCATGTCTCTAAGAAAAACAGAAGTGAAAGTCTAAAATTGACTTAAAAATTGGAGCTAAATTTGTACAGTGGTTTTATGTATATGAAGTATGTATTTTTTGTTAGGCAACACCTATGAGATGTAAATAGTTCCAGTCAATGACTGCAGTTGGTAAAATCGATGATAAGCTCAGTAAAATCATTTAATACTCTGGCAAAATATATAAAACAGGTAGAAAGAAATTAATCAACATCTAAACAGCTATCCCTCCTCCCAAAATAAGCTGCACCTGCTATGTGTACAGACACAGATACCCAGAGCTCCACACATAAACCATTTCCCTTTCTCTCACAACAGAAAGTACAATGAGTGGATGAGTATCAGTGAAAATCTGAGCAGAAAACTTTCAACTAACCTCTGCATTTGGAGTCACATATGTTAAAAATACTCCTAAGAAACTCTTCTTCATAGGTCCTGTTGTTGATATAGGTTACATCTTCCTTGCCATCATCAGTTCCTTGTTTCCACCCTGTCAGAAGAAAAAGTTTGCAAATCCAGATGCTTTTATGTGCTAACATGCTTAGTTGCTCATTTTTTTAAAATTTTAACAAAGAGTCAGATATGACTGAGTGGCTAACATATACTTTTACATATATGGTATGTTTCAAATATTAAAATAAAGAGCAGCCCACAATACTGGTTGTCAATCAGTTCAGTCACTCAGTCGTGTCTGACTCTTTGCGACCCCATGAACTGCAGCACACCAGGCCTCCCTGTCCATCACCAACTCCCGGAGTCTACCCAAACCCATGTCCATCGAGTCAGTGATGCCATCCAACCATCTCATCCTCTGTCGTCCCCTTCTCCTCCTGCCCCCAATCNATGAGAACTGAACATTTATACAAGGAAATGTATGCAAATACCTGTAGTAAAAAAGTTGTTACTTCTGGATATTACTTCAGTTATATTGCTTACAACTTCTGGCACTGTGAAGGAAGTGGTATAATATAATGAAGTGCTAAATGGATTAAGACAGTTTAGTCCTATGAAGAATATATGTTTGAATAAATTCATGTGCCAGAATGGATAGGTTTCAGTTAATATAATGCAATTGGGGGAAATAAAGCTATGTTTACCTGTAAAAAAAAAAAAAAAAAGCACTCTGTGAAAAAGCAAATAGTGTTAGCACTAATAGGGATATTTTAAGGAAAACAGAGGGAAAATAAACACTAGCTATACAGAAAATGTATCATTTTACATTGTTTCTTAGGGCCTACCATACATGGGATTCTGTAAGCAATTCCCTAAGTAGAATTCCAAAATTTCATTGAACTTGGCCTACAGAATTTACATTGTTCCCTGGTTGACCTTATTGGTGCTATACTTTCTTACATGTTTCTGTCACACACAAAGAGGGAAAAATGTTAAAATGTTAATTTTCAGTAAGGCATGTAGGAAGTATATGAATTTTAACTCCCATATATCTATGTATTCCTATCATGACATTCTAATTTGCCCAGGAGAAAGTTTGTTTTCAGGTCAGTAGAAAAATACCAATGATTATGATTGAAAATATAATCTAGAATTTCTATTAGGTTTATATTTGAAATCATAGAAAACACTGATGTTTCAGATATAAGATTTTTGTTGAGAGAAAGAAAATTTTAAGGGAAAGATAGATGCTTTAATCGTTTCATACTTCATTTTAGATCAAGCACTGTCATAGTCACATGCTCCTTGCTTTATTGGAAGAACAAATATTAAAATATGAATATTTACCCTCTTCTTTCGGAGATAATTTTTTCACCACGGAATCCTGAGGAGTAGAGCTCTGATCAGAGGTGGAATCAAAGTCAAGTGCTAAGGTACTAAAATCATCTCCACTGCAATAGTTAGTCAAATCCTTGTCAGCAAAGAGCTCCCTTTTTGTGATCTGCGGTATCAAAGATGTATAATTCTGGGAGCTCTGTGATCTCGGCCTTGAGATATTTTCAGAACCTGTGAGGATAAGCGGGTATGTTGCCTTCTCAGGAGAGCTGAGATTAGAAATGGATGGGGTTCTTGGAGACGCTATCTGAGACTGGGAAGCGAAGGCGCCATCTTTCTCAGGACTCGAGAAGAGCGTGTCGGGCAGAGGGATGTGAGCAGCCATCATTTTCTTCAGTACCTCTTCAAAATCCTTCTTGGGGTTGGTCTGTGGGCTGTCAAAACTGCTAGACTGGTATTTGATAATCTGCCGGATGGGATCAGAAATGTCTTCTCTCTTTTGGATGGCTCGCAGTTTTCTGCAGATGCTTTCCACGGGGTTATGCCGCTTCTCAGCGACCTTCTTTGCAGAGGCCATTGCTGACTTTCCTCCACTGAGACAGAGGAAGTGGCTAAAGTACAGGCAAAAAGTAGACATGTTTTTCAGTTAGCACTGTCCTAACAATAATGGAGCAATAGGCTATTTATTCCCAAACCAACTTTGGGGGGATCAAGATGTCTTTATTTATTTTATTTATTTNTCAAGATGTCTTTAAACCACTATCTTTAAAACAATTGCTTTAAAAAACAGAGTATAGTTGATTTACAATGTTGTGTCAGTTTCAAGTGTACAGCAAAGTGGTTCAGTTATACATACATTGGGTTGGCCAGAAAGTTTGTCTGGCAACTTCCTTGGTGACTCAGTGATAGAGAATCCACCTGCAGGAGACACAGGTTCAATCCCTGGCCTGGAAAGATTCCACATGTCTCAGAGCAACTAAGCCCATGCACCACAACTATGGAGCCTGTGCTCTAGAACCCAGGAACCACAACTACTGAGCTCACCACTGAAGCCCACACACCCTAGAGCCTGTGCTCACAACAGAAGAAGCCACCCCAATGAGAAGCCCAGGCATGCAACCAGAGAGAACCCCTGCTCGCAGCAACTAGAGAAGAGCCCACACACTGAAACAAAGACCCACACAACCAAAAACAAATAAACGAATAAATAATTCATTTGGGCTTCTCCGTAACATCTTACAGAAAAATCCAAGTGAACTTTTTGGCCAACTTAAAATACATCATATGTTCTTTATCAGATTCTTTTCCATTATAGGTTATTACACTATATTGAATATAGTTCCCTGTGCTGTACAATAGGTCTTTGTTTATTTAAACAATTGTGGTTTTTTTTTTTGTTTGTTTATTTAAACAATTGTTTTAAACAGATTTCCACATGTTTAACTTTGGGACTCAAATTTCTAGAAATAATAGCTAACAAATAGAAAGTATTTCCCATGAGTCAGACATAGTACTAAATTCTTTGTATGTATCAACTCATTGCATCTTAAAACAACTCTATGAGGCAAGTTTGCTATTATCTCCTTTTTCAGGCACAAAGAGATTAAGAGACACACCCAAAGTAACTGTAGATAAGTACTGGAGTCCACATTTGAACCCATGCAGTCTTGCTTGAGAGGGTGGACAACATTGCTCTTCATTTATACATCAAATATGATGATGGTGATGATACGAAAGCTCCCATTGAAGAACCACCCCTAATCCTAACCAATGAAAAACTAAAAAAGAACTCTTTCATTAAGCATCTTGCATATATAATGTCCAAACTTCACACAAGCCCTGTCAGATATGTAGAAATATCCCCTTTTCACAGATAATAAAATTAAGGCTCAAAAAGGTCAAGTAACTTGCTGATGGTCACATCTCTAAGATCTGTGCCAAGGAGTGTCTGACTTCAGCAGAATTTTGTTTAATGGTAGCATATATGACCTTTAAAAACATGATCTCAACTTCTTATAAGACAGCAACTAAAGAACTTGGAAGTAAATCTAAAATTGTGCCTAAACTGGTACATTTAATCTATGCAAAGAGTTACAATAAATTGAATAGTTATAAATAGTTGAATAGTTACAAAGAGTTTGAAAGTTATTATTTCTAGAACCTTAACAAAAACTTCTATTTTCTTATTAGGTGGATGAAACTGGAGCCTATTATACAGAGTGAAATAAGTCAGAAAGAAAAACACCAATATGTTATATTAACGAATATATATGGAGCTTAGAAAGATGGTAACGATGACCCTAAATGCAAGACAGCAAAAGAGACACAGATGTAAAGAACAGACTTTTAGACTCTGGGAGAAGGTGAGGGTGGGATGATTTGAGAGAATGGCATTGAAACATGTATGTTACCACATGTGAAATGGATCACCAGTCCAGGTTCGATGCATGAGACAGGGTGCTCAGGGCTGGTGCACTGGGATGATCCTGAGGGATGGGATGGGGAGGGAGGTGGGAGGAGGGTTTAGGATGGGGACACATGTACACCCATGGCTGACTCATGTCAATGTATGGTGAAGATCACTACAATATTGTAAAGTAATTAGCTTCCAATTAAAATAAATAATTTTTTTAAAAGAACTTTTGTTTGTGGCTCTTTTTAAAAAGTCCCCTAATAGAAAATGAACAAAGGGGCATTTAGAAAGACTGGGAAGAAGACACTCCAAATCTTCTCAGTCTGGTTCATTGTACCTCAAGATAATAGCCACCAGTTCCAACTGATTTCCAGCTGTTTCTGTTTCCATCAACAGAACCCTTCACCATTTAAGGTAACAATTATCTTTGAATCTTTACACTGTCACTACAATCCACTCCTTCTATTCAAGGCTAATCTTTCAATGTCAAGCCTAAAACACATTCTCCTATTGAAATTCTGGAATCAGTGTATACGCACTTGACTCAAGCTTTCGGTTCTCTCCAAGGATGTATAATTGTACTGTATATTCTGTCATTTAATTAGATTTTGCCTTCTATTCTTGGACTGTTTCAAATGTGTATACTCACTGCCTCCTCAAAAATGCTTTTAATTCTTGTATACAAAAGCCATGGTATGATTCTCTTTTAGATACTCGATATATTACTGTTGGCAGCATTGATAATCCACAAGGCTTGTGGACTTGTTCCCTAGCTGTAGTGAGTGTTGGCTCTCAAAGACTTGTAGCTACCACTCTTTCTGGAAAATGTTCCCTGGCCAAATGGGAGCTTCTCATTGCTCAGCTAAGAGGTTGGAAGTGAAGCAATGGTAATGACAGAAGAGAGTCTGCCTGGGAATACAACGCATTCCAAATCTACAGCTGACTGTGATGGGGGCACGGCAGGAGCCACCTGACTTCCCATGTCAATTAATGACCTTCTTAAAGACTCAACATTCATAAAACTAAGATAGAATCTGGTCGCATCACTCATGGCAAGTAGAAAGAGGATAAGTGCGAAGCAGTGATTTTCTTTGCCTGGGCTCCAAAATCACTATAGATGGTGACTGCAGCCGTGAAATTAAAAGATGCTTGCTCCTTGGAAGGAAAGCTATGACAAACCTAGACAATGTATAAAAAAGCAGAACCATCACTTGGCCAATAAAGGTTCATATAGTCAAAACTATGGTTTCTCCAGTAGTCATGTGTGGATGTGAGATTTGTACCATAAAGAAAGCTGAGTACTGAAGGATTGATGTTTTCAAACTGTGGTGCTGGAGAAGACTCTTGAGAATCCCTTGTACTGAAGGGAGATTAAACCAGTCAATCCTAAAGGAAATCAACCCTGAATATTCATTGGAAGGACTGATGCTGAAGCTCCAATACTTAGGCCACCTGATGTGAAGAGCTGACTCACTGAAAAAGATCCCGATACTGGCAAAGATTGAAGGCAAAAGGAGAAGGGGACAGCAGAGGGTGAGATGATGAGATAGCATCACCGACACAGTGGACATGGATTTGAGCAAACTCTGGGAGAAAGTGGAGGACAGAGGGGCCTGGTGTGCTGCAGTCCATGGGGTTGCACAGAGTCAGACAGAACTAAGCGACTGAACAACAGTGGAGTATCTGTCAGTGTTCTCAATGTAATGTGACTGTTTTTCTCTTCTACAGCCAGTGAATCAAGGGACAGGTTAAGCCTGAGGCTAACAGGAGCCCTAGGACTGGAACCTCAGACTCCCAGACCCATCAATCTCCCTGGGAACATCTGTGAACCTCAGTGTGGGTTGCTGTTCAAGTGAAAGGCTTCACTCGTGGGCATCTGTGATGGGTCCAGATGAATGTATTCCTAGCATATAAGACACCACATTTCTGTTTGCTTTTCTGAGGCATTTTTCTCCTCCTACCATCTGTTTCCTAAACTTCCATGACTCACCTAAGCAAGCCCTGCTCCATGGTTTATTAAACCAAACCTTAGAAAAAACACACTTAAGGCACTGGCTCTTCATGAGCTAACAGAGCTCACAAGATTAACTTGTTTTGCTTTCTCTAATATAGAGCAGAACATTTGTGGGAGTTCAATAAGTAAGATGTGATGATCAAGATTTCAAAATTTGTGCCACTTTCTCCATATATGGCATGGAAATATCTCCTGTCCATCCTGTCCAATTTTTTCTTTTTTTTTNTTTCTCCATATATGGCATGGAAATATCTCCTGTCCATCCTGTCCAATTTTTTCTTTTTTTTTTTTTTTTAGTTTTAGATCCACTGCAATCTGCCATAACACTGAAAAACACAAGTCTGACTTGCTTTCAATAACTGTCTTTGAAAGAGTACTAACTGAAAATTAAAAACTGAAGGTTAATTGTACTTGTAGAATCAGGTGCTTGGAATCTGTCTTTTACAAAGAATTTTCTTATTTATCTGCTTTGTTGATTGAATACTTACTATGTAAAGATGTACACTTGTAGAAATTCCATTGGTTTCTTTTGTTTTTAAATTCTCTAAACCTTTATTGTACTCTATACCACTCATCCTTTTAGGCATTCAATCAATATCCGTTAACTACCTAAAATGTGTTAAACCTAGTAGAAACAGGGGGTACAATCATGAGCAAAACAGAATATATGCTTTCCTAAAACTTTTGGTCTGTGAGAGATGCACATATAAAGAAGGAAGCTACTAAGACTGCCAGATTAAATCTAGGATGCCCAGGACTTCCCTGGTGGTCCAGTGTGCAAGAATTTGCCTTCCAATGCAGGGGACTAGGGTTTGATCCCTGGTCAGGGAACTAACATCCCACAGGCCACAGGACAAGTAAGCTCGCATGCCACTACTAGAGTTCATGATCCACAACTAAGATCCGATGCAGCCAAAAAAAAAAAAAAAAGACTCAAGATGCCAAATAAAATTTGAATTTCCAATAAACAATGGCTAATTTTTTTTAGTACATCGTGTGCATCAAAAAGTTGCACAGGAAAAACTTATACTGAAAAGTTATCTGTTGTTTATCTAAAACTCAAATTTCTCTGGGCATCTGGCAGTTCTAACTAGCTAAATCTAGCAACCCTGAAGCCTAGAATAATAAATAATTGCACACTAGGAAGAAA